CAGGAGGCGCGAGCTGTGACAATGTGGCGGTTCCTCACCGGAAAGCGAGCCTTTCACACCGCTTCCGCCGACCCCCTTCTCTCCTAACCGTGGGCCCACCTTTCTCTTCCTCCACAGTTCCCCAGCCTCATCAACGGACACATGCCTCTCCCTCTGCCAAGCCTGGAAGGAACGCCCTCCTCTTCCTCTTCCACGTCCCCGAGTGCCCACAAATGCTGATTCCCCCGCCCCCCCCATGTCACCTTGTCTTCATTCTGGTCAACTTGCTCTTGGGACAGTTTTGTGACCTCATTTGTGTTTCATCTTGGAGTTTATTTTTTATTTTTTTGCACTTGGGTCGCTTGAGTTTGCAGTGGTGAAAGCACTCGGGAAAGAAAAAGAAAAGCCATATCGCAAGCTGCTAAACTCTCGCTCGGAGCTCATTCATAACCTCTCCTCCTCCTCCTTTTTTTTCTTTTTGGGGGGTGTAAAATATGCACTATGCTTCTCAGATAGTACCGGCTGTGCCTTCATTTTTGTGTCCTGCCTTCCTTTCCCTTTCAAATGAATGAAAAGCCTGTTTTGGGTTTTATTTTTTTTTATTTTTAGTTCTTCCTCTTTTTTTATACTGGACGTGGTATACAGTATGTATTCGGTTTAATTTTGTATTGTGAAGATTAAGAATGTCGTCCATTTTCAATAAACTACACCAAACTACCTTTAATTCTGTGACTTTTTTTTTTTTTTTTTAACCATACCACAAGAGGTTAAATACCACAGTTTGAGAATCACTCCCCTTAGAATCCGGCAAAGCTTGCCTTTTGACAGACATTTCTTTAAATGAAAATGAGATGTTGATTGTGTAATTAGCAAGTACTTTGTGAACTTGATGTTCATCAGGAAATGGAGACCCATGACTTGTTTTACTTTTTCTTCCACTCCCCCTTTTCTTTCAAATCCCATCTTCTTTCTTTTGCTTGGGATTTGGTCTGTATTCTGGTGCTTGGCCAGAGCAGACCGGTTCGTTGGGTTCGACAAAAGCTGTAAGGCTTGTGTAGGCTGGAAGGGCGCACAAAAAAGCAGGGCCTCTTTGCAAGGGGCCGCAAAGAAACTCAAGGAGTGTATTGTCAGGACATTGCGAGTCTGCATGACATCAGCCCCAAATAGCCATGATGTATGCACACCGCATAATGCACCTACATTATGTGGACAAAAGTATGCAGACAAGACTCCCAATAATCAATCAGTGGTTGGGCTTGAGCCAATCGGAATTTTTCATCTTATCAAGGCATTTTAGACAAAGGTATGTTTCGCGTTCCGTGGGAACGGTTTGGGAAAGGCGCTTGGAAGAACTTAACCCATTCAAACAGTTTGGGGATCAGTGACTTTACAACTTATTTACCAATGAATGCCCAACATGGCTGACACTACTCTACATGCATGACCCTATTGTGTGCAATGACCACTTTTCACTTACACACAAAGCAAAAAAAAAAAAAAAAAAAAAAGTATAAAGAGGTTGTGTTAGACACATTTTTGGTTGGAATTTGCAAGGTCTCACTTCCTTGTAAGTGAGCTCTAATGACAAATTGAGTGTTTTGCGCGTCAGAATACAGCCTGTGGCCGACATGAGGCGTGTTTGTGTTGGCCCACACATTAGGCGGTGTGTAAACACATACAATGGCGCACATGCAGCGGCCTTCATTGCCAACTGAAGGACAAGCGGCACAAGAAGGAGTTTGTCTATTTATGTATGAACAGAGCAGCAGTGTCTAGGGAGTGGCTAGAGAGTGAGCTTTACCTCAAGTGAACAACTGAAACTCCACCCCAAAAAGTGTCTGATTTCCTCTGGTGCCACAAAATGGCAGCTAAGCACTACTTTTGTCTAAATGAAACTCCTCCACTCCCTTCAACATAGTTCCCCGGCACAAACACATTACAAGATGGCGGCAAACCATTGTCTCGTCTAAATGAAGTTCCTCAATCAATGGAACATTGTTCCTTGACACAAAGATTTCATTAGATGGCGCTAAAGTAATCCAGTCACTACTTTGACGTGAGCACAAAAACAGTTAATTGGCAATTTTTAAAGCAAATAATGGAGGATGGGTTTCCCAAAAAAATAAAATTAAATTAAAAAATGGGTGAAAAGGTGAATTCACAAACGTCACACCACAAAAATTGGTTCTCTGTACTGTTGTGTTTTCATTCTAAATTACACAGCCCATTTGCGGTGCTCATTAAAGCAACAATAAAAACATTTAGTCGTTTTATCCAAAAATGACAAATGTTATTTTATGGTTAAAACCCAAAAGGTGAGCTGCTAAACTTGACACCACCCTCTCAATAAAGCCACCGATCTGCACAACGTTGCGTATCAGTGACTTGCTTGAGGCAAATGTTCTGTGTTTGATCACTGCCCGGTATGCAGGTGTTATGTTCTCCACACATCTGTACGACTTTGCTCTTTTGGGGTTTTCTTTCATGGCATCAGATCATCCCTTGAGGTCACCGAGGTCAGACAGAAGGAGACAAAGATGAGGCGCCAAGACGGAGGAGGCGTTTCACCTCCGAGCGGCTGATTACAGAGGTGTGCTTCGTTCATCTTCTCCAGCGTCATGCCTCCCTGGAGGTAAGATTGTACACCACTATAAGACTGAAGACTGAAAGACCAATGTCCAAGGTCGAATAAATAAGCAGTACCATTAAATCCCATTACCATATTTTTCGCACCATCAGTCGCTTCATAGTATAAATCACATTTTTGGGGGAAATTTATTTTTCAAAAATCGAGACCAAGAACAGGACAGCTCGTTCCCGAAATTCTCATTCCCTAATCATCGGTGCTCGCGATATGTCACACATTCGTTGACTTCTATTTCTTCTTCCGCTTCCATTTCTTCTACTTTCTCTTGCCGTTTTCCAAATAATTTTGGTACATTCCCGCCACCTTCTGGTAACCGGTGGTAATCCACCAAAAGTATTTGCCACCCCCCCAATAGAAAGAAGAAGAAATGGAAGCAGAAGAAGAATTATGGCTTGTGTGACGTATCGATAGTTTAGCATGTCGCTCGCTTACACCACAGCAAGCATTCACAGCAGCAAAAGGCGCAATAACTCACCAGGATTCAACAAAGGACTCTGATTAGGGTAAGTCACTTTCAAGTAAAAAGAAAAACTTTTCCAGAGTTAGAAGCGGAAGTAATTAGGGAAACAGGAATTTTGGGGCCATTTTTGTTTTTTTGACACAATTTTACATGATTAGGCCCTAAAATCAACACTGTTAAGGAAAGGTCCTCAAGAAGGTTAGGAAGATATTTAAACCATATTTCTATATGAACATCACTGCGAAGTGATTTGCTTTGGGTTTGAATATTGTGCATGTTGAACATTTTGTGTTGGCTGACAAGTTTGATGTAGTCTTGTTTTATTTTTCACGTTTTTAGACATAATGGAGTTGGTCAGGACCAACACAACTCTGTTGCTCATATTATCAGAAAAACACTTTTTTTGCAAACAATTTAATAGGTTTGTTCTTGATCAGTTAGCAGCATAGCAGCTAATAGAGCGAGCATGTTAGCAAAACGTTAACATTAGCATTGCTTTGTGAACATGCTACTGTAGTTAGAGTAATACTGAGGTTTAATTAGTGTTAAAAATAAAATTGCACTTTGTTCAATTGTAAAAGCTATTCAGCAGTATTTGTGAGTACTATCTACACCGATATCGCCTACTACATATTTACAAAGACGGCTTTGTATAAAACTTTTCCATATTCATTCACATTCAACCGTGTTACCATGGAAAATAGTGTTTGCAATGAGATGAGAGGTGATAATGGGCTTGGAAACTTGCGATGCCACAAAAACATTCCCACGTGATGATTGCCTTGGCTCCTCCCCCTTTCCCTCTTCTTCCTCCTCTTCCTCCTCCCTCCAGACAGTGTGGCGCACAATAGCGTCAGAGTGCGCACGATACGCACACGCACTCTGGTTTCAGCTCGATCGTGCACACTTTTTGGACACTTTTACGCACTTCTCGTTGGCTTCCAATGGGAATTAATCGCGTGCGCGCAACCTTTGCGTCGATTCCCAGAACGCTGTGATTTGAATTTTTGTTCCTTTTTGTTTTGGAGGGGGAAACTTTCGAGGCAAACATGCCGGAGAGAATCAGCATTTCTGATTTTGTGGATCTGACCAATGAGGATCTGTCGTCGCCGGCCACGTCCACTTTTCAGGCCAAAATGAGCGACTGCCGGAGCACAGTGTCCGCCGTGGAGGAGGTGAGTGGCCCGTGGTTGGGAGTCAGACGAAAGGAGAGGTGTTTACAGGCGGCGTGCGTGTTGTGTGACTTCCGTGCAATACTGTACTCACCTTTAGACTGGCCTACTTTTTGCTGGCCCTATTTCGCTCACAATCTCCACTGATGTGCCACGTTGGGCTTTGGCATTGGTAAAAAAAAAAAAAAAAATGCACAGGTGTGTTGCCAAACAGTACATCTCAAGTGTCAATGCATTATTATGTAACTAACATTTATGTTAGGTTGATGGAGCAAGCTGAATGGTCTTCAATGTTTACTAATAAGATTGTTTTAAAAAAAACAGTCTTTATTGTTGTTGTTATGGGCCCAAAAACGACCAGCCGCCCCCCACCCCTCCCTCCAATATTTTTTAAAATTAATTAATCGATGAATCGGCTGTCAAAATGTCATCATCCTATTTGAAATGCTCTCTGTTTCATCGATAAGTGTGAAAGTTGGCCCCCCGGGGTCGCCTGTCGGCCAGTCGAGGGTGTCCCCAACCTCATGCCCAATGTCACACATGAACCCAATGTATGTTCCGTTCATGAGATACTCTAAATTGTCTTCAATGTTTACAAATACACGTGTTCACCACTGTGCATTTGCTTTCATGTTGCCAACACTAAAATATTTTAGGTTGTGTGAGGACTGCAAATGGTCTTCAATTTTTACAAAAATGTATGCTAGGTTAATTTGAAGACTGCCTTCAATGTTAAAAAATGTCTGTAATTGAGGACCAGATGTCATCGCTGTCTATGAAGTATGAACAGTTAGTTTTGGTTCATTAAAGACATCAATTCGTGACTGGCTGAAAGACTTTGATGTTACCAGAAAGATTAATTTTATGGAAACTGAGGACACAAACAGTGTGTCCAGTGTGTTTAAAAGCACGTGTCACTGTCTTTGATTTTAGCTTTCTGGAGGCGTCTAAATTGACTTCATTGACTGTGAAAATGTTTATTAGCATAATCAAAGACTAAATCAATTTAACAGATTACAATTATGAATAGTTCATTGAAGACAAGTAAATTCATGGCTGATTGCAACCACTGCACACTCTGATGTTATCTAAAAGATTCATTTTAGGATAGCCGAAAGCTCAAATACTCTTCAAGTGATCATTCCAGACCCCGCCTCTTTCCCTAAATTGTCATCGAAATATGACCTGCTTTTTTTTTTTTCATTTGTGTGTTCGTCTGAATGCTGTTCTTCCAAAGCTTCTTGGGCGAAGGAAGAGAGGCAGGGAGGCTGCCGTGAACTTTGCCATAAAGTAAATAATCTGCACCAGTTAGTCCTTCCTGTCCTATCTTGTGCAAAACAAGGAGTCAACGCTGAAAGATTCTGGGACATCATTGCAGTCCTGATGTGTCAGCAAGAATATCGCAGCAGATGTTCTTGAAACCCATGTGAACATGATGGAATCTCTTTTTGCAAAGCGTGTCTGTACATAACAATTTTTATGGCTATGAAAGTAGCAGCTCATGGGTTGATACTGTATGTTAAAGGCCCCGTCCTTCATATAGTGGGTATATTTAGTCTGGGACATGTTGATTAACGGTGAGGGGTAACATGTGGACATGATTGTGCTTTGCAGGGTTTGGCAATTCTTTCCCTCTTCTCCCCCTTGTACACTCTGCAGATTGCTTTCTAACCGACTACATAATGACGACGGTTATTCATCCTTATAAATATAACGTACGAAGAGTGTCGCTGTCATTCCCAGCAGCTCCTCTCAGAAGGAGATAGATAAGTAATGTTGAAATAGCATCCTGTCAAAGCTTGAAATAAGTGGTTTCGCATCAAAGTTTGCGAGGTAAACTTGGCATTTTGTGACTCATCAAAACGCATTGAATAGCAAATCAACCACCGAGACACTCGTCAAAATAAAGTAGAGGAAGAAGAAGAACCGCCAAGATTGTCCAGAGAAGCTTTGCTGGGCACACGTCATCTGCTGCGGCTAGTTGGATGTCGAGAGAAGCACTGTGCTACTTGGCAGGAGCAGCTAGTTTGTACTCATGAAGAGATGATGAAAAATGTGTTCCGTATTTTCACAACCATACGGCGCACCGTAATAAAACATGTAGTCTCAGTTGCGGATGCTATTTCTGTATTTAACACATACACAAGAAACATTGTATTATTGAACACAGGCATATATGCTAGCTTAAAAAAAATACGGTAACATGCATGCACGCTAGCATATGTTTTTAAAAAGGTAGCGGGAGCAAAACTGAGTTCAGTTGTACTTTATTGAAGTTTTTAACAATGTACTCATGTTATGAAAGCCAAGTGAAACCGGCAGAGCAGCAAAATAAAGGATTCAGATCTCCAAGAAAGGGCCTTTATTTAATGTAACGCAGAACATAATGACAGTTTTTTACTGCAGTGAGAGCGGCAGGTGTCCAGCTTTTCCTTGTAATCCGCCAGATGTTGCTGTGCCACGGTCGGAACCTCTTATCCACAGAGATCTTGCAAAATATTTATAAATGTACCTTTTACACAGAACTAGAGGCCAGTATCTAATAAATTCTTATTTTTTGTTTATGTTAGGGCGTCATTTAAATTCAGGTTGATTGACTAGTGGAAGTGTACCGATCTGGGCTCAAGCAGTCCCCCTCCTTTTCACCCACCTTTTTAAATTGTATTAATTGAATGCAAAGCTGTACGGAAATTAAAACATAAAATATCAAATAAGCATAGAAAAACAAAAAGGATTTAGTTTCAGTACGCGCTTTGGTTCACTTCCAAATTAAGCGGCAGTTCTATTGACGAGTGTGAGATTTCCCCAGCACTTCCCTGCTGATCTTTCCTCCAGCAAGTTATTTTCACGTTCCATCATAGAAATAACCAGACATGCTTGAATTAGTCCGGAAAGACGGGAAAATTGCAGTAAGTGATGGCGCACACAAACGTGAGTTACAGAGTGGCGTGCCCTGATTGAGTGTGTCTGCCCACATGTATTGGAACCAAACTATAAACACTGTACAGCTTCTTGCCACTGTGTTTATCCTCTGCCACCAACACCACCCCCCTGTCTCCAAACTCCGCTTTCATCACTTTCCCATTCACCGAGTCGCATTTCACAGCATCCATTTAGCCTTTTAATTAGTGGACCCACGCTTGAGGGTTGGTGGGAGTGTGGAGAGACGGGAGTGAACTTGAGCAAAAGGCCGCATTAACGGCACCACCCAACAACACACAGTCTCTATTAGGTCTGAAATTCTGCCTCATTAAAGCTGTTTCTGGTGACACGTAGAGGCGGAGTAGCACCTCGTGTCTGGCTCAGCGGAAAAAACGAGTCTGTGTGAGGTCGAGTAAACAAGGAAGCGTGCTTATTTGGGGAAAAAAACAAAACACAACACAAAGCCCTTACACATTGGCCATCCTGTTGGCTACCTGTATACCAGAAGACTTTATGAACATTTGGAAAAGACCCTTGGAAAACTGTTATCCGAAGTGCGCTGACTCCGGTAAAACGCCAATATTTCCTTGTGAGTTTCAGTTTTTAATCTGAGACTGTGAAAGCTGTTCGGTGTAAATCCAGCATTCGACGTGTCGAAGATAACTGAGCGGGATTGGAGGCGTTGGCTATGAGACTCACTGTCCAAACTCCTTTGTGTTGATGATCATGATGTCATGATGCATCGAGTTTTGTCTTAAAGGGACCACTCCTAAAACTGCTGGGTTAAAAGGAACCCAAATTGGCCAGTGCTGGGTTATTTATACCTAGCGCATTGGGTTGACGATTTGATCGAACAAAGGAGAAAAACTACCCAAAAATTGATGAGTTAAAGCTACCAAGAAATGGGTGACCGGGTTTCAGTATCGCAACTGCTACATCCAGCCGCCACCAAAGGTCTCCTAGAATGTTCCACTAAATTTACTTCAACTTTATATATATATATACCCCGAGTTGTCTCCTTGGTGCGTTTTCAAATGCAATTTCCATGACGCTAGGTACGCTGGAATCTTTTGTGGTGGTGCATGAATGTAGATGACTGACATGCTTGCTCACCAGTTGTCATCACTCACACTGTTGGAACATTTTGGATTACAATACTGATGGCGCGCACGTACACACACACTCATACAGACACACACACACACACACACACACATAGCTCAGAGGGTATGATGCAATGGATTTCTTGTCATTTTACATGCATATTTCTCTGATCTTTTTTTTCCATTCTACTATTTGATCCAGAAAAAAATATGTATTGTTTACATAAACAGAAAAGACATCAGACACTTGCCGTTTGACGTAATTATCAGGAAAAATATCGTATCGGTATCTGTATCATTATCGGATATCAAATAAAACGTGTATCAGGGTAGCAATTTTTCTTCCATATCGCACTCCTCCAAATTGTCGCTGGGAGCTCATCATTTTGATCTGAATGGGTTGCCTCGAGAATGGCAAGCTAATGTGTCATTGTTGTGTTGTTTTGACAGTCTCTGGAGATGGATCACACGACTCTCCAAAAGATGAAAAAGATGATCAAAGCCATCTACAACTCTGGAATCAGTGAGTGTGTCGTGTCCAAAGTTCGCCGCCTCTTGCTTAAGCATTTCATGGCGTCACACCGTTACGCGCAGGCCAGACTTTGCTCGCCTGTCGTGTGTCATTTTGTTGATGTTGACGCTGCACTTATCATCTGTGCTGACTGAGTGTGAAGCAGAAAAATTCATTCATGACGTCAAATCGTGTAAGTAGCTATCTGGGGCGCTTTGGTGACCAGGAGAGGGACAGGAAATGAAACGTTTGTCATTTGGTGAAATAGTGGCAGATAGCCAAGGTCAACACTAGCTGACAAACTGTCCATTGGGGTCAGTTTTGACCATTGCCAAATACATCATCATAATTGTCTCAATGAAATTACGTACAGTATTGCAGATGTTTCAAAAAAAAAACATGAACAGAAGGATGATTCACTCTTGAAAAATGTCTGAGAAATGCTTGTGGATATTCTCATTCATTCTCATTTCCGAGAAATGGGTATCAGTATTTTTTGTAGGCCCTTGTTTTTCCACTTCCAGATGTCAAGTCGAGGCTGCATCAAGGCACCCTCTGACCTCACTATGACTTCTATTCCTTATGTTTAGTATGTACGATCATTCAGATGCTGGTTTACACTTTCGCTGTTTCAATCAGGATTCCCCGTGATCCTTCAAAAACAAATGCTAGCGTGTTTGTGCGGGAAAAGGATGACGGAGACACGGACAGTCCCCACTCCCCTCCCTCCTCTTGACCTTGCTTGTTATTAAGAACCCATTGATAAACCCTTTAACGGTATCTAAAGGCATTGCTCCCAAGTTGCACGGTATGAAATAATGTGTTTACATCCATCTGGAGGCCAACGTGCAAATGGGATGTGATTCCGTCAGCAGTGAGTCGTTTGAGTCCGCGTGTGTGTGTGTGTGTGTGTGTGTGTGTGTGTGTGTGTGTGTGTGTGTGTGTGTGTGTGTGTGTGTGTGTGTGTGTGTGTGTGTGTGTGTGTGTGTGTGTGTGTGTGTGTGTGTGTGTGTGTGTGTGTGTGTGTGTGTGTGTGTGTGTGTGTGTGTGTGTGTGTGTGTCATTGAGAAACATAGACCAGCTCCGAGGATGTGTATGCTTGACGCTCCTCTGAACTTCCCATTCCGACCCAGAAGTGAGTGAGTCACAGATCTGCTGCCCAGAATTTAGGCAAGCATACAGCATAAATTGCAGATGAAGGAGAGGGTTGATCGTAACTGCCCGCCTTCGACCATCGTGTTTTTTTTTTCAGTCTTTAATCACTCCCGATAGAAATCGTACAACAACACTGAGTCACTTCGCCCCCTTGACACCCCCCATGTTCAGTGAGTGGAAATGTCATCATCTGTTTCCAAAATTGGTTTCCGTTTATATTGCTCCCAAGTCAAAGCAAAAAAAAATTGTCAAACTTAACATCTAAATGTTCATATTTTTCTCCCGAACAGATTTGTTTGAAAAAAGGATTCATCCCGGCCTCATCCGGGAACACCCCCCCTCCCCCACCACCACCACCACCAAAAAAAACTTTCACTTTCTACAGTTCATTGCCTTCCCTTCATTAAATCCAGACCCTTTTAAGTTGCCTTGTGTTCTACGGCGGGACAACTAATGGAACCCACATGCTGCTTCGAATGACACCATATTCATCCTTGCAGCTCACATGGAAGCCAAGGAGCAGTACACAGAGGTCCTGGAGAAACTGGGCAACAGCCACCTAAGCCAGGACAACAACGAGGTCTCCACGGGCTTCCTCAACCTGGCCGTATTCACCCGAGAAGTCACGGCCCTGCTCAAAAATCTGGTGAGGAATGAGTGGGGTGAGGGGTAAGGTTAGCTTGACGCTTGCGAGAAGAAATTAATCACTTCGATAGAATATTGGCAGGTGAGCTGCAGTTTGTAGGACATTTTGGCGGCTTGACCAACATAGTCATTAGTCCTTCGCTCAAATTAAATCGTGCATGTCTGTGTGTGATAAATCTGCACGGGGAAGTCTCCCCCTGATCTTTGGAGATTTTAATGAAGAACAGAACTCCGCGAGTGATTCAACACAAACACACACAAACATAGATGAGAGCACTTTATCCCGCCCACTCCCTTGCGCATATGTGTCAGTCCCAGTCTTGCAGGGAAATGAATGGGAAGCTTTAAACAGGTTTGTTTGTTTGTTTCCAAGCATTCTCTTCTTATGTCAACTTGCTGGTTAAAGAATTCTGCTGTTAGGACTCAACAGAAACAGTCCCAATAGCACACTGGGTTATATAACCGTGTTCCAATTCAAACGCTTGGCAATTAATGGCTTTGTTGACTTGCATTTCTGTGTGTACACAGCAGTACGTATGTAATCATGATGATTGTTCTTTTAACTCGTTCACTCCCAAAGACGTTTTTAAACGTCTTTTCAGACTTGGTCTAGAATTGGCTGGTAAAGAATGAGTTTTTAAAGAGAACATTTTTCAGTTGATTTCCGCTTTTATGACTGAAAAAAAAAGTGCTGGTCGCAAAACCGTGAGGAGATGAAAATTTTATTTGCATTGTCTTTAATTTTAGGGATAAAAATGTGACCATTTTTGGGTCGTTCTGTAACCTTGCTTTCTCTTTTGACCTCTTCGGAACCTCTTTGCAACGCAGACACACGTATGCATGCAGGCGCGCACAGGCAGAGTTGAAAAGCTGATATATCGTGCTTGTCTTGGGCTCTGACACGTTCCAGGTGCAGAACCTCAACAACATCATGGCCTTCCCTTTGGAAAATGTGCTGAAATCGGAGCTGCGCGACAGCAGATTGGTGAGTGAAAAGTTCTCTTGATAATCTCCAAACAAATGTTCAACCCTCATACTGTTAAATGAACTCTAATGGGACGAGAGGCACTTGAGGAGGCTTCAACGTGTTTCCTCCCAAATCAGCGAGTGATTTTACTCACAAAAAGAAGAACAAACGTCATCGTGGGACTGCAGAAACAAAGCATAACACAACTTGATTGAACATGATTATTGACATTAAATTGGGATAGTTTGAATCAAAAGTGCTTTGATATTACATTTTCACCACTTTAAATTGGCTAACATTGCATAAAAATAACAGACAGAGTGGGGACGGACCAATCGTATCGATTTGTGAAAAAATAGGAGTTTGACCATATATGGGTATGGAAGGTTATACCCGCAAGCTACGATCTGTAAAAATATTCTGCCAGTAAAAATAATCATTCAGACAAAAAGCCTAAATCCAAACTATTAACGTCTCTCAAGTTCAAAGTCGTTCCCCATTGTCGGCTATTCATACAGTCATGAAACTGCTTTGTAAAGACGAATGGAAAAAGCAATGTTCGGAGCAGATCTAACATGTTTATTGTTTGACTGTAAGATTCACCATGGGAGTAGACAAGCAAAAGAGTGACCTCACACTTCTGTAAGCTACTGTCACTGCGTATTATTCACACAGCCGATGGTAACTGGCGAAAGCCGGTTTAGCCAGATAGCAGACAAGTTATGCGTTAGCTGAGCCACAGTGACGCTCTGTGCAGTCGTTTTTTTTAAATGTCATATTAAAGCCGTGCATTGTCTTGTGTTTTCCTCAGGAGCTGAAGAAACAGATGGAGAGGAGCTGGAAGGAGTACGACTTAAAAATGTAACTCGAATGCGACGTACCCTTCAGTCTTCAACTTAGCTGGCTCAGCTTGCTAACCACATCGATATTGGCTAAGTTTACCAAGTAGCGTACCGTTTTTGATTTATGGGGTAACAACCACAGCATTATAAGGTGCAGCTGTTTATTTGACAATGATTCTAATATATAGTGGGTCTTGGCAATTATGGGACAAAATCATCAGTGCAATTATTTTGATTGATATTGAAATCACAATACTGTAAGTAAGCAATAAGCAGGCAATGTGTCGAAGCGAAGTCTGTGTTTTATTTCAATGTACAATGTGTGGAATGATTGCTGTTGTGTCTTTCGCTTTATCCATGAAAGAGCTAACATCAGCGTAGCATTGTTTTCAAAATGATACTCGCACATTGTTTCTATTGAAATTTCCCCTTCCTCCCTCTTTACTGACTGGAAATTCATAGCTTATGTTCGTGTTACTCGTCTACCGTAGAGCAAAACTGGAGAAAGAGCGCAAGGAGAAGAGCCGGCAGCTCATCCGGACAGAGGGTTCGGACAGTGGGGAGGACATGGAGAGGGAGAGGCGGACCTTCCAGCTGCAGATGTGTGAGGTGAGTCGCCAGCACAAATAACACCTTGCACATACCTGAACTGCTCTTTAACCACATTGACATGGGTGGTCTTCTTTTCTTCTTTTAAGCTTCCAAAAGAGGCTTCCAACTCGTTTTATGGGAAAAATATTCAGGGGGTGCTCTGAGGGGAGTCCGGCTGGGTTCCAGTTGGCTGAATTATTGTCATCCACTCAAAAGAGTTTTTTTGCTGTTTTATGATGCAACTGAATGTTGAGGGATTTCCTGCACAATGTGCAGATGGACCTGAGTGTTCAGTATATAAAATGTTCAAAAGACTACAGTGAAGGTTATCTAGCTAGCTCGCCATCTAGCTAGTCATTTAGCCATCTAGCTAGTCATCTAGCTAGCTAGCCAGATAACCTTCACTGTGAAGCTAGATGACTAGCTAGATAGCTAGCTAGCTAGATAACCTTCACTGTAGTCATAATAGCTAGCTAGCTAGCTATCATGCTAGATAGATAGATAGCTATTTAGCAACATTCCTGTACATTCACGTGTTTGTTTTTTTCCTAGTACCTTTTAAAGATACAGGAGCTGAAGGTCCGACAAGGCCCCGATCTCCTCCAGAGCCTCATAAAGTTCTTCCAGGCCCAGCTCAGGTCAGCCATTTTCTCTGTCTTGTGTACTTTGCATGTATCAACAGGGTATATCACATACGCTGATGGGGCTGAAGGAACAAATTATCTCGTGTTCCTTCTTGGCCTGAAAAAGTGACATTTGAAAATTCTTTTTCTGCTGTTGGTTAACCATTTTGCCAATTGGAACCATACCGGCGGTTTGAAGCAGACTGCTTGAGCGTGTGATGTTGTTTGGACCCAAGTGACGCCATGACTCAGCCTTTCTTCTGCCTTCGCCCCCACCTCCTCTTCTGGTCTCAGTTTCTTTCAGGACGGCCTGAAAGCTGCAGAGAATCTTGCTCCCTTTGTGGAGAAACTGGCGTCCTCGGTTCACACGGTAATCAAACAGTCACTTTGTGCTTGTCTTTTGTTGTTGTTGTTGTTGTTTTTTTTTAAACCTCTGAAATGCTGGTGAAAGAAATGGATTAAGGATTGTAACTCTGGCTTGCATATGTGATGTGCAAGAGCGATGTTGTCAGTGCTACTTGATTGGATGCCAAGTTTTTCCATTTCAACATAACAGATGTGACATCAGTGTTATGTCTTTTTTTAACCAAAGCAGTCCTTTTTTCTGTTTCAGTTGATGTGAACTGTAATACCCTGTAATCTCCTGCACATTTTCAGTTTACTATGTATTCACAAATTTACTTACTTGCTTTTTTTTTTTTTTGTTCTAAGCAACCTTTTCTCAGCTATTTGTGAAAGTAGGTTGAAACCATGCATAGGGACTGAGAGACAAGCTTTGTATGTTAACTCATTCAATGCCAAAGACGTTTTTTTTTTTCTTTTTTAAGAATCCAGGCATTTAATGTCAGGTACATCTTTATGTATGTTTACATTTTTTTCCCACGTGATCAGGTAAAGAAGGGAATGAAAATACGCACTCGAAGAACAAATCCATCCATCCATTCATTTTCTAATCCGCTTATCCTCACAAGGGTCGCAGGTATGCTGGAGCCTATCCCAGCTGTCTTCGGGCGGTAGGCAGGGGACACCCTGAACCGGTTGCCAGCCAATTGCAGGGCACACGTAGACAAGTAACCGTCCGCGCTCACACTCACACTGAGGGACAATTTAGAGCAGGGGTGTCAAACGTACGACCCGCGGGCCGGATCCGGCCCCCAAAGGACTTTAATCCGGCCCGCGAGATGATTATGTAAAGCAGTGGTGTCAAACATACGGTCCGCGGGCCGTTCCATCAGGCCCACAGGATAATTTAAAAGTGAAGAAAATGCATAAAAGACACAGAATAAATATTTTTAATAAGGTGCAATTCATTGAGTATCCGCTAGGGGACACTGTTTTGATCAGAGAAGAAGACAACAGCAGCCTCAGTCCATCACTGAGACAGACCCATGACAGCAGACGCTATCAATAGCACTCTCACATTTACACATTTAATAGCACGCTCCTTAGTTTGTAAGGTGTAGGCAGGGATTACATTTAGATTTTATATGCACGTGTAAATGGTTTAAAACTTCCTTTCTTTATAAATCTCGTTTAATCTTAAAGTGCATTACGATATTTTTCAAAACCAATTACTTGTTAAAGTTTGTACAATCAGTGGGATCAGTTGCAATGCATATATGTGAATGATAAAAGTAAATTGCACATTTGTCGAAGGAAATGTAAGGTGCTTCATGAAATGTTTTGTAAAAGATATGTTCATTTAATTTCAACATTTTCCTAATGTTCTTGTGCTTCTTTATACCAAAACAAAGGAAAGACATATTGTTTTGGTTATTTATAGCAAAGTATGGTATCATTTTAATGGTCCGGCCCACTTGACATCTACCCAGGCCGTATGTGGCCCACCATGTGAAATGAGTTTGACACCCCTGATTTAGAGTGTTCAGTCAGCCTACCACGCAAGTTTTTGGAATGTGGGAGGAAACCGGAGTACCCAGAAAAAACCCACGCAGGCAGAGGGAGAACATGCAAAGTCCACACAGGAAGGCCAGAGCCAGAATCGAACCCTACACTTCTGCACTGTGAGGCCGACGCGTTAGCTGGTCGTCCTCAATGAAATACAAAAAAAATAATAAAATTACTTAAGGTTAACATTATACGCAGAGTTTGAACTGTTTTGAGCTTTATTTACAGTTTAGATTACGATTAATTACAAGGTGTGATTTTTAAAAGGGGGTGCATCAACCACTCAAGGTTTTTGGCTGCGGGAATAAAAGCTTGAGAGAGCAATCACACAATATGACCCGCCACAATGAACCACATTCACTTTAAGGATCTCAAACGGGAAGTGTTTCCACTGGTTCTTTTCCGCAGCAAGCCAAAACTCTTCCTCTGCAAGCACAAGCAGAGATTGTTATTGGAAGACATATTTCCCCTGTCAGCACACAGTGAAAAACCAAAGCTTTCTGTCACACTTTCCCTCCAAATTTTCCCGACTTGTTCCGCTCTGCTGAGACCTGCCTTAGCGGGATGGCCGGACCAAAAAAAAAACGTTCGAGGGTGGCACGTTTTTCTGGTTTGGCACAGGCGGCGGAACGTGCCTCCGCTCAGACTCGTCGCCGAGTTTCCCGATAACATCTTGTCACTCATCGGCCATCCCTCCGGGGAAAAGTGCTTGTCAGTTAAACGGATTTGTGTTGCGCACCGGATGACACGCACTACTGTTGTTTGTGATTTGCGGGGGAGAAAAGGCGTGACCTCTACGGGGAACACACCTGAGTCTGTAGACCCGGCAGTGGTCCGCCTGTGCCTCAGACCGAACTTTGACACAGCTGATGCCGATTCATGTATTCCGATATAATGTGTGGCGAGGTCAGCGTCGGCGTCTGTTTCGCTGAATTCCGCTCCAAAGTCATCGGAGAATAAAATCTAAATCTAGATTAAGGTCTCTGATTCACCTCCTTTGATTTGACGATGATTTCTGGTACTTTTGCGGTAGGTCCGGCTCGACCAGGACGAGGAAGTCAAACAGCTCACTCAGCTGCGGGATTCTCTTCGCTTGCTCCTGCAAGTGGATGGCAAAGAGGTGAATCTCGAAACGTAGCAGCACGTTCCACAGCATAAATCGGGGACTATTTCGAGACTTTTGCATGAAGAGTTTTAGGACCCAAGCACAGCGGTGCAAATACTCCCTTGAAATTGCTGTTTCTTTTTCGTTTTCTTCTTGGGCTAAATGAACTACAGGTTTTTTTTGTTTTTTGTTTTTTTTTTTATAAGGGCTTTCACATCCTCAAAACTTACTTTACAAATTATGCTCATTTGTTTATTCTTATTAAATAGCTGTATGCAGTATAAATACACATATGGATGTACAATAACAATGAACAGATTCAGAGTTTGTTTCTTGTGCCAGGAATACCTAAACAGGAAGAACTCGGGCAACGGCTACAGCATCCACCAGCCGCAAGGAAACAAGCAGTATGGGACGGAAAAATCGGGGTTCTTGCTGAAAAAGAGCGACGGGTGTGTAAAAGATCATCACCACGTGTGAATTTTATGTCATGTTGAATAGATGTGGGAGCACAGAGATGTGGGGGAGTGGGGGGGGCAAGGAGGGTCTCATACTTGCCCCCTTCCAGCTGGTTTCCATTACCCTGACATGAAGATTCAACAGGGGCCCCTCCGCTAACTTTTTTTTCTTTTTTTTTTGAGGATAAGTGGTTTTGTTGAGTGGACCCAGCTTTTAGAAACAAACACATGAAACACACACACACACACACACACACACACACACACACACACACACACATATACAGACCATGTATACCAGGGGTTCCCATATGTACGGTGCACTTCCAAGGTTTGAAATGTGAGGCCTGTTAGAAATGCTCGTCATTGCCACTTTTTTTTTCCTCCGGCAGGATCAGAAAAGTGTGGCAGAAGAGGAAATGTGGAGTCAAATTTGGCTGCCTAACCATCTCTCACAGCACGGTGAGGACCACAAATAAAATCGAAGCCTTTACTCGTCCCGCAATGGTGAAATTCATGCTTTACAGCAGCAAGCAATCTTAACGATACTAATAATGGCAATGTCAATTCATAAAAGAACAAGTGTGTGTGTGTGTGTGTGTGTGTGTGTGTGTGTGTGTGTGTGTGTGTGTGTGTGTGTGTGTGTGTGTGTGTGTGTGTGTGTGTGTGTGTGTGTGCGTGTCTTCGTGTCTTCATGTCTGTGTTTTCAGATCAACCGACCACCAGCCAAACTCAACCTCCTGACCTGTCAGGTGCGAGCAAACCCGGAGGACCGCAAAGCCTTTGACCTGGTTACTCGTGAGTTTTATCTTTGACCCTTAACCCTGACTTCCTTAGCGTTCTATAAACTGGCTTCACTTTCGGGGGGTTTTCCTGCTTCTCATCCAGAGTCAACTCGGCTCGTTGACTTAGGCCGTCGGAAGCATCGCTGTCAGATTTCATGTCTTTTTCATTGCCACCGCTCCTTGTTTTCAACAGATAACCGAACATACCATTTCCAGACAGAAGACGAGCAGGAATGTGTGATGTAAGAATTCGATTTTGCTTTCACATTGGTCTCCTTATCTCGTACTGCGTGTCGCGGTCTGTTAATTTTCAGCTTAGGTGTGGGTCAAAAGTCAAGGATATGAATAACCAAAAAAAAAAAAAAATGGGTCACCGAAAGCGACACTAACACTACCCTTTACAATGTGAAAAAAAGGCAGATTCCTTTTTGTATTATGCCTCATTAGACAGTACAGCTGTACCTAATAAAGGGCATCCAGGGTGTCATCAGGTCTGTAAAACAATGATGGGAAAGTAAAGGACGTTGAAAAGGAAAGGAAAGCGCTATTAATAGGATCACTTTTGTCCAGATGGTTTTCTTGGGTGGGAATTCCCTCTGCGCTGATCATGCAAGAAAGCTTTGTGCGTTTTAATGTGGAAATGGGGAAAAGTGCATGATGGGGTTTAGGACATTGTGTAACTGGATAATTAGTTTCATGTTTTCTGGCGGGTCATCGAATTTTGATGCCCTGCTCCATCCTAAAAAAAAATCAGAACGTGTTGTGATTGTTCCAAATATTGAAAACAAATCATCAGAGTGGCGGCCCCCGCCTCCGTGTGGGAGGCGGCCATGTGAATTTAAGAAATGAAAACTGTTGATGATGCAAAAAAAAAAAAGAAAAGCAATTGTTTCTTTAATTGAAATGTATGAAAAATATGGTTTATCTGAATACTTGATTATTCTATAGAATTTCTAGTAAGTTACTTGAATGCTGAAATATTCGCGAGCTGCAGCCCTACATTCAACCTCCCCTTTAGATTTTTTTTAAAGTTGAATAAAACCCTTGCTTCAAGCCCCTGAGATACACCTGCAAGAAATGCGCCTCAAAATGAGTCAATTCAAGTGCTCCTCAAATAAAGTCATCGATTAGCAAAATTGCTCTTTAAAGAAAAAAACGGGTTATTGTCACGTGTGTTCATGAAGTTGTTCGTGCGTGTGCGTGCGTGTGTTGGTCAGCTGGGTGTCGGTGCTGCAGAACAGTAAGGAAGAGGCCCTGAACACAGCGCTGGGAGGAGACCAGCTTCACCTCCAGGACAGCGGCCTGCAGGAGCTTTCCAAAGCTATCATCAAAGAACTTCGCCACATGCCCGGCAACGACGCCTGCGCCGACTGTGGCGCACCAGGTCAACACACTTTCATTTGAATGCTTGATTGAACTTTTTAGTTCGAACATGCAGTACATACATTATGCAATGTTGTGTATTTGAAATTGGAACGTTGACCCGTCTTTTCATCGCAGATCCAACATGGCTGTCCACGAATCTTGGCATCCTGACCTGCATTGAATGCTCGGGGATCCACAGAGAACTGGGTGTCCACTACTCCAGGATCCAGTCGCTGACCCTGGACCTGCTTAGCACCTCTGAGTTACTGGTACCAATATGATGCACTGTCTTTACAGTAAATTAAAAACATACTCTGAGTAGGCCATTCGAGCTATGTTTGAGCCATCTTGACACCTGGCGTATGTTTGGTGCGTGGGAGTGCTCCGTTTCGGACTCTAAGATGACCTGGCATGAATGATGGCATATTTTTATTGTACTAACTGTCACGCTTCTTCATGTAGTTATTCAAGATAATGCTCCCCATGATAACCCCCCCCCCCCCTTTGCACAGCAGAAATCAAGTGATTTGAAGTTATCCACAGTCAAGAATAGAATGTGAGGTCACATGTACCGGTCCTATCCTGCAATTAATATGATGACTTCTTCATGTTAACCAGCACCTTGCGCACAAGAAATAAACGGCTGGTGGAAATGACCCAAGTCAAAAAAAGCCCACAGTGTACTCAGTCCTGCGCGGGTTCATATGCATGCAGAATATGCTGTACATGTAACACAAAGGAATATGCTTCAATGGAAATAAACAGTACGACTTGAAATAATCCACAGTCAAAACATTTCACAGCACGCTTGGTCGCACATTCGTCGCAGTAATTAATAGTAACTGCTTCCTGGCGAAACAGAAATAAACCAGAATGACTGGCAATGTCATATCGGAAAATTAAATCAATGGCTCCTTTTAATAGAAATAAACACGACGACTCAAATAGCCCTCAACCAAGGAAGTCCCGGGCATACTCAAGTCACGCAAATGCTTACTTACGTCCCATCACCTTCTTTCCATTGATTCATAACTACCACCTTGCACAGTATTCAACACTACTATCAATTGTATTTATAGAGCACTTTAAAAACCACCGCAGCTGCAAAAAATAAGTGCGGTACATAAATGAACACCAGACATTTGAACATGATTTACACACAGTAAAACAGACAAAATGTAAAGACGCTTAAATCAGGGCTCAAGTCTTGTGCCGTGTTGAACACCAAAGAATTGAAATGGGTTTTAAGGTTTTAAAAATGGGGCTTGTCTATTGTGCACCATCTGGCAAATAATTTGTATGCGAGTGTGTAATAATGTGTGTGAATAGTAATATATAAGCAATGTTTTCGTGTCTGTGTGAGACAGTTGGCTGTCAGCATTGGCAACACAAGATTCAACGACATCATGGAGGCGGGCCTTCCAAATGACGCTGTCAAACCTTTGCCACAGAGTGACATGTGAGTTGTGTGTTTTGGCGTTCAAAATAATAACAAATCTTGAATCTAATTTTAACGCGCTCTTCCAGGAATGCCAGAAAGGAGTACATTGTGGCCAAATACGCCGAGCGCCGCTACGTCCTGCGCAGGGAGACGACGGAACCCGGCCAGCTGTACGACGCCGTGAAGAGTCGTGACCTGACGTCTCTGCTGCAGCTCTTCGCCGAGGGGGCGGACCTCGCCAGACCGCTTTCGTTGGCTGATGGACAGGTGAGGGCCGTTGACGTCACGGATCATGTGAGCAGCGTCATGGTAACGTCAGAGGAATCTTATGACACTCGAATGGTAAAGTAAATTTCGCAACTCAAACCGGTGTCATATATGGCACAAATAAACTATAGTGCATTTGACCGGTTTCAAGTCAGGTTTATGGTTTCAAACAAGGTTGAAAAGTTGTGACTGGTGGCTCTGGATTGAGATCACTGGTCCACTTGACCCCAATGCAAGTAGACTTTAATAACCACATGGCTCAGGACCAACGTAATTTAATGTGTTTCTTGGAAATACTCCGGACATGTCTTCATCTTGTTTTCTCGCAAAGGGTCTGAAAGAAACTGCTCTTCATCTGGCCGTGCGTCTGGAAGAAAGAAGCTCTCTGGCCATCGTGGACTTCCTGTGCCAGAACAGGTCAGACATAAACAGCAGTCAGACTCTTATGTCACGATTCAGCAAAACCTTCTGTCATTTCGAACAAGAGGGAGGGAGGTTGCGGATGGAATTTTTTTGGGGCGGGGTGTTTGACGTGGGTTTGGTGTATTGCCCGGCAAAAGACATTTGCTGTCCATTGAAATTCATCCATCAATGTGGTTTGCTGTGGCCCCACCGGGCCCTTCGCCAGCCATCGTCTACACCCTGTTGCATTTTATTAATTTCATTTTTTTCAATATTATCAAATTCTGTATCAAATGAACTCTCATCGGATATTTGCCCCGACAGCAACTGCTTGGAAAAGAGGACAGCGGAAGGCAATACGGCTCTGCACTACAGCGTCCTCCATCACAAGCCCGAATCGCTCAAATTGCTGCTGAAAGCCAAGGCCACTCTTCACATAGGTACCAACTTACTCAGTGTCTTCATACAAGGACATTTGGAATGAAAAGATTTATTTATTTCTTTTTAATTGTTGTGTTTCAGTGAACTCTGCAGGAGAGACTGCCCTTGATATCGCCAGGAGGCTGCAGCACACGCAATGCGTTGAGCTGGTAAGACCTCGCTGCATGAGATTTCAACACAGGCCCTGTCCAAATACCCACACTACCAGTGTGTGTGTGTGTGTGTGTGTATGTGTTTAGTTGGAGCTGGCCCACAATGGGAAGTTCAACTCTCAGATGCACGTGGAGTTCACGTGGGACACTCAAGCTCAGGAGATCTACGACAGCGAGGACGACCTGGACGAGAGGGTAAACATCTCGCCACACTTTCCTTTTACTGCCCCACAGATTTTATATCAGAAAAATAACTTGCCACAAATAGTAGCTACATTTTTTGGACCAGGAATGTTAGAGGTTTTTTTCTTTCTTGCAGGTGAGCCCCGTACCCAAGAACCGCTCTCCGGTGTCGTCCAATGGAGGCGTGGGAGCCCGCTGGAGTGTGGTGAGCAGCACCTGCGGCAGCCCGGCCAGCAGACCTTGTCAAACCTACGAGAACCTGGAGTTCCTCTACAGAAATCCCCCGGCCAACAGCGCCCCCTCTGGCATATCCATGCCACCACCACTGCCCGCTAAATCCACCCCTAAAGGTAACAACTACTAAATGTAGTCACAGTGACGAGGGAATCTGAGCATCACAACCATTGGCGGCTCGTCACTAGAGGGCGCTAGGCTTGCTACGCCTTCCTCACTCCCAGCGAATGAAGTGTCCAGCAGAATTGTCATCTTCCATTTTGATCTGCTCAGGTCGCTCCGACCCTCAACTGTCGCTCACAACGCCGGACGTGAGCTTCCAGCCTCCCAGACGCGCTTCCAACCCGTCCTCCAGCACGCCCGGTTCCCAGGCGCAAGCCAGAGAGAGCCCTCCATCCCCTGCCACGGAGAATCAGGCCCCGGCTGGAAAAGCAACCAAGGGAAGTGGGCTGTGGCCTCATAGATATTCCGGGGAAGTGCAAGCCGGCACTGCCTGTGCCTCTCAAAGCACCGCCACGTCACCCCAGAACCACATTGGGCCTGTCAGGTAAATTTACAAAGTAGTTACCAACTCACCCTTTTGCTTTTTTGCCCATGAATATCACCAGCAGTGGTAAGTACTTAAGTAGATTTTCCGGTATCTGGTCTTCCTTTAAATACTTATTTTTCTGACTTACTTACTTTTATACTCATGAATTTCAGTCTTTACCGGTACTTTTTTTTTTATTTTTTTTACTTGTACTGAAGTGGAGGAGGCGAATCAATCCTTCTACTTTGACCAGAGTATTTTTCACTCTGCTGTATATTTCTCTTCTTTTGCCAGCTCAGATTGTGACTGTTGTCAAAAACTTCTTTCCAGTTCTGAAAAGACCACATCTTATCGTCGCACCAGCAGCGGAGGAAACAACCAGGGCAAGTGTGCCGTGTTGTCTCCCACCAGCAACCAGGAGGAGCCATATTGTATTGTGGGTGGAAATTGCGCCGGCCTCGGCCCGGCACCCACCACAGTTGCCGCATCTTCTTCACCTGGCGTCACCCCTGCCCTGCGACCACGCCGGAATGCTATGGTACCACTACAAATGGCCTCTTGAACCTTAAAAGTCCTGAAAACGTCTTGCGCTACTCCTAAAATGCTAGGGATAATTGGCTTTCAGGTGAAATTTCAGGATACACGATTAGGTTTCACGTGTCCAACGGTTCAATACTGCTTGAGGTTTTTTCATGTTCCCCAACAAAAAGTTGAATATCATATTGAATATTTAAGAATCTCTTCCTTTCTGTACCACCTCCGGTATCTACTGATGACACTCTGAAGTACTCTTGACCAATTTGACAGTTGTCTCATGATCATTTTAGGTTCACCCTGAAATTTCACCAAAAAGATAAATGTCCCCCTTTTTTTAAGTGTCTCCCTACAAAAGATACATTCTTTATCTCATTACATCCCATGTAACTATCAGGTGTCGGGCAACAGGCACCACCAGAAGCGGGTCAAGGCCATAGTGGATGGCAGACCCACCAATTCCGAGCAGCTGACCTTTTTTAAGGATGAGACAATCGTGGTCACGGTCTCTACTGACCCCCACTGGTGGGTAAGTGTAACTACCATCTTTTTTTTTTTTTTTTTTTTTAAACAAGGTTGTGTATATGTTGCACCAAAAGCTAAGAAACGATTGCTAAGGCACTCCTTAAAATAAAAACATGTTTATTTTCTATTTAAGTTTCTTTATACAATTCATGTGTGTTTTTATTTTTTAGCCCGAACACACTTGATCGGCTCCTAATGTCAAGATAAAAAAAAAAAACAAGCATGTCATGACTTTTTTAAGGACGACAGAAATCTAATCATTTCTACTGTTAGAAAGCTAAAAGATGTTTTATTTTCCCTTTGTCGCATTGATTTTGAGACACATGCCCTTTTATCAATTTTTCATATTGTAGCTTGTAATACCTGAATATTTTGTGCAATATTTGGATTTTTCTTTTCTATTTTCACAGGTTGGTTACATAGAAGGAGACTCATCTAGGAGCGGGACCTTCCCTGTCAACTACGTCCAGAAAGTGACAGATTAAACATGTCTGTGAATGACAAACTGAAGCAGCATCAGATGCTGGTCGGCATTTTTTACATTTTAGCGAGCAGGTGGACTTCTATGCTGTTTTCCAACACGGATTTACTCAAACTGGAACATGGTGAGCGGATTAAGGACATTCCCCGCCAGAGACTACACAAAGTGATTTGAAATTGCTGACAAGGAATATCAAACTTTTGAAAATCTTCATGAAGTCCTCCATCCTTATAATGAACTTTTCGCATTTTTCTAAAACGTTTTTGTTCCCAGGTACGGACGGCATTGGTCATTTCCTTACTTTTCCGAGCCAATCGCTTTTAAAAATGCACTTTAAACTCACATGGAATAATTCCTCGGAAATGCGTGTTCATGACTCAAGGCCAGCTGGTGTCTAAAGAAGTTGCTAGTTGATATCATGGACTTAAATAGGAAAATGGGTTATGTGCTTGCATCCGAAAAGATCTTCTTCAATAATTAGGGTTAGTCACAGACTATCAGGCTGGATTTACACAATAATTCTAAGTGGCCAATTCCAATTAAATGCCTAGTAGCTTGGATTCCCTTCATTTATTTATGCTGTTTGGAGAGATGTCAATGACGGGGCGCACAAATGATACATATCTCATTTGGTTGAGTCCTGATGATAAGTCTCAAGAGATACGATCCATGCATTTTTTTTCCCCTCTTTCCGCCGTTATGGCATATTTCCCAGTTGTGCCATTTGAGAGTAAAAGAAATAAGACTCGTCTTATTTGAACCACAAAGTGTAAATCCAGCCTCGGGGATATTTGCTGATATGAGTGATGCGTGAAAAGAGTTACTGTAAGTGTGTGCACATCACGGACACACAATTGCACTTGCTGTACATATTGTAACTAGCGCCTGGTATTTCGGATTTTTTTTTTATATGGACATATAACTGAAAAAAACTTGTAACTCATGTCATGGGGATTACTGTACATGCTAATTGATGTATATAATTGTCTAAAATGTCAATGGTGTGTCTGTGAGTGAATATTTTTCCCCTCAGCGGCCACAATATTAGACACACTTGCATGTAGAGTGTTAGTACTCAAATTTACATTTGTTGTCAATCATGCACATTTGATGTGTCTACTTAAGCTTCACACACTTGCATACTGGACATTTTCTTAGGTACATGTTCACACTGTATGAGGAAATAGTTGAGAGTTAATTGTTTATATCTCTAATAGTGTCATTCATTTTTTTGTAATGGTGTGATTTCTGAGTGCAGGTGAGCGTGGAGTGCAAGGAGGCCGTCGTCGTCACTTACCAGACGCAAGTAGAGCAGAACCGCAAGGAGAACAAAGCTGCTAAGTGCTTCTTTTCGCTCAGCACATGCACAAATCGATTCAATTATTCAGTGCGGCCGGCGCTGGCTGCATGGGTTCAAAACAAAGCATTTCTCTTTTCCCTGTGAGCGTTGCATAAGGCTCTGAATAAAATAAACACAACTTCTGGGCCCGTAGCTGCAGTGGGGAACGTTAAATTACATTTCTATAAAAGCTTGATTCTATTGCTTTATTACGTAAATCACAACATGAAGCACATTTTCTATCCGTTCTGTTCCACTTAGCAGGGGTCGAATCTCAGGGGTAACAGCTTAAAGGAACAGTCCAACGAGGATGTCTCATTTTTCACTCACAAATTACGTATTTTTTTTTAATCAAGAACTAGATACTACCTTCTATTTTGGAATTCATCAATTTGTTTTGGATAAATCGGGAAATAACTAACTACCTTCCTCTCTGGTCAGCAATTTAAGCACACCCCACCTTCCTAGTCACATGTCTTGGTGGCAGTCAGCAGAGGAACCAGACACAATTTTTATGTTGTAAATCATTGCACATTCGTCGCTAAAAAAGTCAAAAAGAAACCAAAACAAACCCGCAGCAATCACACCTTATGTGGACATCTCTACTTATGCCCACTTCACCCTCCCAAAGTACAATATTAACAATTAGCCTCTCCATGGCTCACTTTGAAGAGAGTTGACGAAATGAGAATCTTAAAATGCAGTTGCTGGATCGTTTTTTTTTTCTTTTATAAGTCCCCACGTTGTCCCCAATGTCTACAAACATCTGACCACAGCTACACCGTGACGAAGCTATCCCCTTTTGTTAATTACGGAAATTAATTCCAACGTATAATTGCTCCTACAAGCATAGACAAACGCTCCCGAATCCAACGCGTTTGTGCAATTTGACAGCTGCGGTTGCCTTGTTAATATTCCCATCATGCCTCTGTAACCTCCTTTCCGAGCACGGCTGTCTCTTGGCAGCTGCGGCCCGGTGTCCAGCACCATGACATTCCAACCTGTCACTTATGTAACAAAGCCGAATAATAACAGCGGCTTCGAAGCCAATACGCACGGCCCCTAAGCCCTGTATGGATTTATGCCATTAATGTGTGCACAACACAGCGCTGGATGCCGCGCTAATCTGCGAAAAGCGAGAATGATTGTATCTCTGAATTTTATTTAAGTGTGCCCTGAATATGTTATTAGCGTCTGTCTAGAAGCCATCTGTATTGTGTAACATTGAAATGGAAACGAAAAGGTTCTCTTTACGTGTACCCAGAGATGTAACCTTAATGCTTCCATTAAGTTAGCAAAGCCAAAAACATTCATCTTAATGTAAATCCATAAATCCTGTCTCACAAAAATGAGTGCTAAATCAAAAGTGGATCGCACTCATTTCCAGTTAAAAAAAAGCACAGTTATCTAATTTGGATTTTTCAATACATTTCAACCTCAAGAGCATCTCAAAGACCCGACGGCTGTTAATCAAATGCAAAGTGATGATTAAAATATATACACATGTAGCGTTAAAAGCTGGCAGTAAATCCAAACAATTAGGAATTCGCAGGAAAAAAAAAGCTTGGAATCTTATGTAACATTTTTAATCATGAAGCCAGTTTAATCCTAACAACGTTTCCTTTTAGTCTTGTACATTGCGGCGCTGAGCTTAAATAGTCAAAGAGTATTTGACTTTCAACATGACACGAAATTCAGCGAAAGTGAGCAGAAAACGAAACAACATTCAGTCTTTGCACTGTGCCGTAGAAAGCTTGTTTTCAAAAGTGATAAAGGTTGATTCCATTCGGAAAGCGTGGCAGTAAGGCTCCAAATAGTTGAAATGTACATGAACAAATGTACAACCGCCGCGAGGGTCAGTTGAGAGCAAAACATTCAATCATATACAGCAAATTGTGATTTAAAAAAAATAAAAAAGGAAATCAGTACTTAATATACCACAACTTAAAGGTGCACCAATCACATAGCGATACAAAATATCAAGAAAGTACATTAAAATGCAAATTCATAAATACAGTTGGACCTTTGTATGCCCAAATTTTGTGTCAGGAGTAGGGCTGAACAATTAATTGAATTCAAACTGTCTTTCATAATAATTCATAGTTCATTTGCCTTTATTTTAGCTTAAGTCCAACCTATAAGACCACAATGCTTATGTAAAATAAATCGATATTGTAATACAATATGTATGGCTTGTGTTTGTGGGGAAAAAAATACATGGGAAGAGGAGGTTGAAAATTGTAAGTAAATCACAATGAGATTAGTTTTCAAAATTGTTCAGCCCTGGTGTATATTTAGAATTTTTTTCTCAACTCTAGATTTTTAAATTTCGCATGTATATATAGATTTGTTTTTAAAATTAAACCAATCTCCCACAAATGATTTTATTAAACTTACTTTTTGAGTCACATTTTTTTGTTGAAAAAGTGAAAGAATTATGCGAAAACAGCTCATGTGACAATCTCAGTTAAAGTCAACAATTATGCATTAATTCAAAAAACGGAATAATCTTTTCTGCATTGTTGTTCTCCCAATATGACAGCATCTTGCCAACCAGAGGTCCAAATAAAAAATATGAAACCCCAAATCATATACAGTACTGTATTTTCTCACAGGGGGAAAAAAAACCATTTCTGAAATATTAAAAGAGTACAGTACATTCATTCTCGAGCTCTTTGGGAAATGTAGTCCTAAAACTTGAGGAAACAAACAGTGTTGTTGTCTAGTGTCCTATTTGGATGTTTCACCCCTTCGAAATGTGTCTACTTTGTCAGCAGTTATCATTGCCAATGCACCGACATTGCATAAGGCATATGAGAAGCGATAGAGGCCAGATGTAGAACGCGATTTCTATAGGCTATACATACAGGACCGTAACGACACACACATTAAGGCCTAATCCTGCGTTAGCTCTTCACTAATCATAATAAGCGCTTGTTGTTTGGTAGCACAGAGCCGGCAAGCAGACGCTCCCTTGGCAAAGTGGAATGCTAATCGAGACTTAGTCAATCATAAGTTCGTTATGGCTATCGTTCATGTGACAGACGAGAACCAGGTCGTCTCCGCCCTCCTCGAACGTGTTCTCGTATCACAGTCCTTCGAGCCCTTTGAAGAGTTGATAAGGAAAAACTAAATTTCCGTTCTCCTTTCCGACTCTGTTACGTGAATATTACGTTTTTGCCACCGTGTAGGCCCTTTAAAACAAATCAGTCTGTTCGATGTGAAAGCGAATCAAGAGAAAAAGCATTCAGGTCTACTTGTGTTTACATTCGAGGACTTTGTGGTCCATTTAAGGTGTGATGGTAATAAAAAGTGAAATGAACCACTTTGTGTTCGCACTGCGCTGAGGATTGGATTTAAATCAAGATTGAGACCAGTTTGGTTTGCTTTAAAGTGGTTTGAGTCAGTTTCACTTGGGTGCAAATAATGCCAACGAATAGTTCAAGACTCCAAGGGACTAGACGGAGTTCTCTTTGCAGTCACATTAAAAGTTCTTTTGAAAGAGAAACCGGTTCTCATTGTTGTCCAGTTCACATCTGATGCCAATACAAACTGAAGTGAACCTTGACCGCTTTCTGTTCACATTGCCCACACGTTGTACAAACTATGCTGATGACTTGAAGCGGATTGATTTGGTTTGTTTCAAAGTGGTCTGGATCATTTTGGAACCATTTACAGTGGTGCGAAAAATGCTGACTTAGGTTCTGATGGCGTAAGTCAATATGAAGTCCAGAAAACCCAGACCAAATTGGATTACACAAACCTCTCTCAGAATTTCAAGCAAATCAAATGAAGACCAGTTTGGTTCACTTCAAAGTGGTCTAAGCCCTTTTGGACTGTCCAGCTAAACGCAATAGAGAAAGCTAACAACTTCAAGACTAGAAAGAGTTCACATAGCAAGTTTTGAAAGAGAAACTAGTAATCTTTCATATTCATTCCAGGTCTGATTGGATCCACGGCAGCACAAAGCGAAATAAACAGACCAAATTGTGTTTACGTTGCCCATACAACTCCACTGTGAGGACTTGAAGCAAACATAACTGAGAGCAGTTTCCACTAAAAATTCTTTTGAAAGAGGAACCAGTTCTATTTCTGATCCAACTTGGTCTGATAACACTACAAAGCAAACGAAACCTGGACTGCTGTTTGTTCACTTTTAACTGCACTGTGGAGTTGGAGCAGAACCGGGTTGAGACATTTGCCGATATCAAATCGGTTTGCTTCAATCCGGTTTGAGTGTTCACATATGCACAGAAGATGCTGACTGATCATTCAGAGTTAATTCATATGCTAAATTGAACCACGTGTGAAAACACCTTTCGAATGCGCCATTCCTGACATTTTCAACACACACGTTCACCTCTAACATAACCCTTTGCAGTGAACGACTCTACTAAAGTATTGATGCTCTTAACACCGTCCAGTTTCCCGCTTATGCACTTGCCCAGCCCGCATCTAGAATTCTCCTGAAAGCTGAGCTGAGAGCCTGCTCTGCATTGACCTTCGAATGCCAGGAATAGACGTCCCCGGCGCATCCGCTCTGCTTCGTGTGCACACTCGCCGGCCACAACTTTAGGTACACCTGCAACGTTAATGGCGAGATCAAAATGGAGTATTCATTTCATAATACAGGGTGTCCGCAAAGTGTATTCACAGTTCAGCTTCTGAAATGATTACATTTTATGGACACCGTGTATGTATAAATATATATGAGTGTCAATACAGCTGTTGCATTGGATCTCATGAGATGGCGTAACTAATGTTCTGACTTTTAAGTGTCGATACATCTGAGTGAAGCACACAAATCACAAACGTGAAACTGCACTAACACTCCCAGCCGAGTTGAAGCTAAAAATTTCCGCTTGATGTTTGAAATGAAACAAATTATGATTTTGAAATGGCTGACACAAGTACGATGGGGACATTCCGGTAGCGTCTGCAGTCATCTAAATTGCGCATGTGTCGCCTTTGACATCCAAAGCGTGTTTGTTTTCAATCGAAGCATCCCTTGCCTGCCGCCCGGTCGGATACATTCCGTGTAGCTGTGTGGAGACAAGCGAAGAGCAAACAGTGGTCGTCATGGAGACTGGAGGCCACAGGTGGAGTCATCACCTGCTCGTGTCGCATCTTCTCCTCCTCCTCCAAAGTGATGAATCACAGAGACGTCAAGGCACATCTTTTGTCTCTGTTGCTAGGTCCTATTCTAAAGATGTCTCGAGTTTGCGTTTTTCCAATACAGTGAACCCCCGTTATATCACAGTCAGGGCTGTGCAAAGGGGTGGAGGTCAGGAGGGTCGGAGGGGGGTCATTGATTAGGGCCCTGGTCATCAAGTGTCCAAGAGAAGAAGAAGCAGAGAAGGTCTCCTACTAAGCGCAAAGAATATATTATATGCGTGTGAGTAATATTGTCGGCTACTTTGTTGTGTGGTCATGCTGCACCTTGTGTGTTTAAACCGCACAAATTATGATAGTTTAGTACTTTAGCATTAAGCTAGTAACATTTGTTACACATTATTTATGCTTTGGATTCACCTGTTTGTTGATATTTTTCCAAAATATTATTTTGGGGAGTGCAAGCTCCATTTTTCGTGGGAGACAGGTTGGCGGTTTATCAACTTCTTAAATTAAAAATTTCAATACATTTCAAGGGGCATTAAGTATAAACTGATTTTCGTGATTCATGTTCCGGCCTGGATCCTGTCTCCTGCGAATTGCGTGGGGTCCCTGGTTTTTAGTGTTAAATAAAATGCTGAATTCGTTTTGATGTTGTATGTGATGTAGCTCCATGTGTGATAAAGTTGGACTGTTTGAAGGGCTACGGTATAATTACCGGAATATCTATGCTAAATTCTATTAGCCTGTATGTGAGACAAGTGTGCATGTTAGATCGAAAACATCGTACTGCTCATGTTTAATTCTTATTTACACTGTGTTGTAATACTTTCAGAAGTGCGTTTTAATGAGTTTAAATATGTTAAAGCGCGTGGGAGGGGAGAAATTATTTTAATCTGAAAGTTATTTTTATATGGTTGCTCTTCATTGTGTTTTTTCACCTATCTCGGGTGGATCTGGAACATAAATAAAACACATGGAATATAAACAGATAACCAGGGGTTCACTGTACACTCAGCCGTTGTGAATCTCATCATACGTGACTCATCCATGCAGCACCATGCAGTCTCTTCCCATTCTGGCGTCAGTGTTGAAAAAGAAAGCAGCAAGGTTTCCATGACAACGAGGAAGAGCATCACTTGGATTGATTGACTCCTGAGCTCCTTTGTGCAGGCACTCCAAACACCCGAAGGACCAGCCTCAGGATACAAGAGCAAACAAGCATACGCGCAGATGGTGGAAGACGGTTCATGTTCTTCTGCCTTACTTGAGCTTCACAGGCCAAGGCAGGCACGTTCGGAGTCCCAGCATGGAGGAGAACGCGATGGTGGGCCGATGCTTCTTGAACTTGAGTCCCTTCTTCAGACGCTGGCTGCCCTCGGCCACGTAGATTTCGCTTTGCTGGGATGTGCTCGACATCCGGGCCAGCCGCTCCCCATGCAGAACCACCTCCTGCTCGGAGCGTACAAACACCTCCCGGAGCTCCTCCAATCGCCGCTCCATCTCCCGTACGACCCGCTGGCGCTCCTCCACCTCCAGGAGGCGCCGGCGAGCCGCTTCGAACTCCATGCTGGAGCTCGGCGTCACCAGTTTGGAGGACGGCGCCGTGGCCGAGGCAGACGTCGGCTCGGAAGCGGCGAGCATGGCGCCCGTCACCCTCCGGAAGTCGCCCATGGAGATGGAGCGACGGGTGGCTGGGGAGGCCAGAGCCAGGAGGGCGGACGCCGAAGCTGGCATGGCCGATAGAGGGGAGTGAGATGAAGAGGAGGAGGATGGAGGCGAGTGTGGACGGAGCTGTAGGATGTCCTCGGCGTGGTCTTCATCCTGGGGGTTTCTTTGTCGTCCTTTCATGGCCGCTTGCGGGTCGCCTCCGATTACGATGTGTCCCTGGTGCGGCTCCATTCATCAGTGATGACGGATGGGAGTCTGTCTCATCTCACGGAGGGGAGGGCGAGGAGCCTCCTTGCAGCCGATTGGCTGGGGCCTCACTTAGCCTACTGGCTCCTGATTGGCTGGCCGGCCTCTGTGCTGCTGCTTTCCTCTTACCAGGCAGTTTTTCTGTAAGAGATTTCATTTGAATTTATTTATTAATGACCTGTGTATGTTTTGTATACAGCATATATTTAAAAATATTTATTTGACAGAGCAGCTATAAACTGATTTCATTGCACCGAACAGTTAATTTTACTGCAATGAGAGAAATAGTATCAAAATTGAAATCTCGACAGCTCACATGTTAAGAACAGATCATCATAGTTAATCTGCCTATTGGTGACATTAAAGTGACTGGCACCTTTCTCTATCTTGTTAATTTAATGTTATTAGTTTATCATATCTGCAGTATTCACCAACGGCTAACATTGCTTTGCCACTTACATAAATATATTTAAAATCGCACAACAGCAACAATATATTCCAAGTATGTCAAACAACATTCTAAAATAACCACGTAACACACTGACAACCAGATAGAGTAATTGAGGTCTACAGCAATGTTTAAAAGCGGCTTTTACCAAATTACAAGGGATGAAGTAACATAACCGCTGTTCGTATATATGGTGTAATAATGCCTTTTACAGAAGGAAGATTTGTTTGGTTACGCAAGATAACCACTTGCACCAAACTAATCCTACATGTGGAATCATCACTGGCAAATATCCGGCACACAAGCAACCGCTTTACCTCCAGATGCATGCCAAACTGTATGTATGTGCTCACAAAAAACATATATACTGTGCATTAGGCATGATTCACTCTTATATTTTGTTTTTTTGCCTTACTTTAAAAGAAAAAGTGTGATTAAAGATGCGTGGTTTATTATCTCCTCTCTCTGTTACGGATTACGTTGATCTCTACTATTTGTTTTTAGTGGGCATGTGCCCACATGGAAGGAATTCAACTCCTAATCCAGTATTTAAATATATAAATCAGGATTTATTGTATTGTATTGTATTTTATTGTATGAACCACTTTCCAGTATTTCGCGCATGTGCGCCATTTCCGACATTTTATTGAGAAAATAAGCGCACGGATGTCTTATTTTGAATAAGAATTGCACCGGATATTGCGTATATTTTGAGGTTGTTATTCAGATGGTGTGTCCGGGACTACAGAAGGCAATGTTATGTTACGTCTTCGAGACATTCCGGCTTCAATAACATGAGAATAAACGGTAAAATGATCTATTAGCTTTGTTTTAATTATTTTATTGTTAAAACCTGCTCGGGGTAACTGTTGTTATTTCGTCGTAAACGTTCTTTTTACGATGTTAGCCATTTGTCTTGTTGGGGTCTGTATACAGACGAACTTTAGCGGCATGACAAGATGGAGGTGTATTTGTTCGTTTTGCCGTCACTCAACTGCAGCATAGTTTCCCCCCCCCCCCGCTTTGGATAAGATTTTTGTTTGACTCATGGTTGCTGTTTATATTTAGCCACCTGGCTGTCATGGAATCATCGTTGTTCGAGAGCCGCTTGGAACTCGTGGCGCGAGAACGCAGCGGACATACGGCGGTGGTGGAGGGCGACCTGCTGTACGTGTGGGGCGGCTACATGGTAACTCGAGGGGCAGGTTACAATACGCACTTTCCTCAGGGGAATTATTCTTTTCTTTTTTCTTTTGTCAACAGTTCGCCGCACATACGCTATCTAATAATTCCACAATTACTATTGTATTAACAAATATTTATAAAACCAAGTGTAATATGAAGTTGACATCTTGGCTTCCCTGGACAAGACACAAGCATTAAAAAAATACAGAGAGCAAAGAGAAACATTTTGAGTTCAGATAAGCAGAGTGAACGACTTGAAGGTGTGGAGTATGCTGTAATTCTTGATATTTGGGCTGTTTTGACACTAGCACGTCAGACATGTTATTAAAATACCGGCAAACTTTGAAATAGTCAATATAATGTCTCCTTTAAATAAAATGCATGAAAACACATTCACGCACATCACAAAGTTTTGTTCATTTTCTGTCATTTGATATGAACTCATGCTCACTTGATGTCACTAAGTCATGCTGTTCTCCACAGTCTCTTGATGACGATGAAGTGTTCCTCCCCAGTGATGAATTCTGGGTGTATGACCTGGTACAAGGCGCATGGTAAGAATGTTACATCTGTATTGTGGAACTCTCAATTCAAACACAGTCCTTTGAATTCCAAGTTGTAGTTTCAAAATATTGTTCTAGAGTCAAACGATAATATAACGCCTTCATTAAAGCAGAACTCAATGTTTTCATTTAACCTTCTGGATTGTCATGCAGCTAGAGTGGTTTTCAAACTTTTTACGTCAAGTACCACCCCCAAGAAAATACTCTGCTGTCAAAGTATCACTGTGACCGACATTAAACTACAGTAGCATAGTAGGCCCAAGTGTTCATCGGAAACTTTAATTTTCAATCTAATACCATCATAGGCAACTGTAACATGATGGACATCTTAAACTTTCTTAATTTTTTAATCAATTAAAACTTTGCTTGGATTAAAATTTTTACACTTTATAAGTTTATATCGTGATATCTACCATTACCAGAAAGGGATTTAATTAAGACCGGGATAATGACTGTTAGGCCAGATTGCCCAGCCCTATGACCTGACACGTTTTGTTACTGCTGTGAAAAATGAATTGAGTGAATCACTCAGCCACATCATTTTTTTTCCTCTTCTCAAAGGCAGGTGTTCCACATGACAGGCGAAGTCCCGCCCTCCATGTCAGGGAGCTGCAGCTGTTCCCTAAATGGTCACATGTACATATTTGGAGGTTGTGATGACAACGGTCAGACCAATCAGGTGAAATTTATAATCCAAAGTAAATGTCACAAATACTTATCAAAAGTCTCCACACCTCTGTGCAAATGCCAGGTTTTTGTGCTTGTACTCACACAACTTATTTTTGTGATTATTATTATACCGGAATCGCATTATTTTGTCACCTCATAAGAAAATCATTGAAAAGCTGTATGTCCATCCTTAAAATAAGCCAGAAAGACGAAGGTAATAAAGTCATCGTGTGACTTGTTAACAGATCTATCGCGTGAAGCTGTCAGGTGATCATTACGCATGGACCAAAGTCGTGCACCGCGTCGGTTCCGCACCGTCGCCTCGAGACAAACTGTCCTGCTGGGTTCACAAAGGAAGGTCGGCACAGTGAAGAAATGTGACTTCTTCACATTCAATATTTTAATGTCTGCATCCATCCTGCATTAATTTTTAAAAATGTGCTTTAGGATCATCTACTTTGGAGGATATGGTCACAAATTGGTGGCAGAAGTGGACAGAAGAAACAGGAGCTTCATTGTAGATGATATATCGGAGGTAATTTCAAGAGTAGATTCAATGAACGTGTGTGTATGTGTGTGTCTGCGTGTGTGTTTTTCCAGAGCTAAGAATTCCTCAGATGTTTTTGGTCTTGTGTCTTGTTTTAGGGCGTCATGTGGGGATGGAACAACGAGGTTCACATGTTTGATCCCACGCAATCCAGTTGGGGTCAACCTCAAACACACGGCCGCGCCCCGGCCCCCCGAGCGGCCCAGGCCTGCGCCATGCTCGGAAATCGAGGTTACATTTGTGGCGGGAGAGTTAAGGTATGAGACGTTTTTTCCAGCAGTAGTCTTACCTTGGAGATAAAACACGATTGTGTTCCAACAGCTTCATTTTTTTTGGTCATGAATGCAGGAAACCCGAAAAAATGACATTCACTGCTTGGACCTTGACTCTTGGATGTGGTCAGAAATGTGAGTCACTGTGACATGTCGCTCTTTAACGGGGATTCCTTTAAAGTCACCGTGGTGAAAATGATTTTTGTCCAGAGTCCCTGTGTCCAGCGTTCCAGTGGGCAGGTCATGGCATTCGCTCACAGCGGCGTCGGACAGCAGCTTGTTTTTATTTGGAGGTCTCAGTGTGGACTGCAAACCTATGAGTAAGCACCTTTACAGTAACAGCTGATCAACGTTTTTTGAGGAAAAAAAGGCAAAACATTTTGGGGGGAAAACACCAATGGAGAGTCAAGGCAGCATTTTCCACATTTTTGTGATTCCTTTTCATTTTTGTCGCTGCATTACCAGGTGACGGGTGGGTCTTCGATGTGGAGACAAAGACATGGGGGGAAGTGGAGCATCCCTTTAAGAACAAACCAAGGTAGCAGTTTTGGCGCACTACGAGTTGCTTTGAGCATGATTCACAAATGTTACGCTTGGGAAAAAAAAAAATCATCTTTTGTGTTTTAAGGTTATGGCACACGGCTTGTCCAGGCAAGGACTCTGATGTCATCGTGTTTGGAGGCAGCTGTGATTACATCCTCCTTGTTGACACTGTGAGTACCAACAATACGAAAGTATTTGTGGCAAGTGTCAGTCAGTAATTGAATCTTACTGACTTACTTCCTACTTTTGCCATTTCGTAGGAAGAATATACAATATATTTCAACAGTGCTGGTTAAAAGCAAATTGTCATTTAAAAAATGTTGTCCTGATGAATTTTTTTTTTTTTTCAAGCACTTCAAAAAATGGTGTAAGCGAAGTGGAACATTCTGTGGGACTCCGATTCAATTCGTTATGGTTGGGTCGAGAGGCTATGATGCAATTGAGTTTCTAGTTCCCGTTTTACATACATATGAATGAGTACTCTGAATGTGGCGCTTCCTTCAAAGAGACGTTTCTCTCTCAAAGAAAAGATGGTGTGATACGCATCTCGTTATGTTCTAAAGTGAAACGATTCGATTTGGTTGTATTCAATCCACTCACATTTTGAAAGCTATCTGATTAAACAGTCCAGTAGTTCCACCCACTTTTTTTTTTTTTTTAATTTCAACACTTTTCCATTTGTCGTTTTTGTGTAAAATTCATCAAGCACTAACCTCGGGGATGAAATAAAAATGAAATGACACCGCTGCTCTGGACCTGGATTGCGGAATAAAAATTCAGATCAACCTGCTATGGATTTTCTGTGACAGAAGTCCTGCTTTGAGGTTCTACCGACTTGTGCCATCATGAACAACATGTTGATTCGTAAAAGAAAATAAAAGCAAAGCCATTGTCGCTGTGTACAGGGCCACTGCAATGATGCACTCGTCTTCCAGATGGCGCCATACCCACTCTTCAGGTAAACTATATTATGTATTACATTGGCAAAAAAAGTCAACTTTAGCCATTGCTTGGTTGATTTTTTTTTCCCCCACACATTCAGCTATCAACACAAGTATTTCCGTTTAATTTCATTCAAACTTTATCAACTTCTCAAAGGCTGCTTCAGTAAAACAGCAGTGGTCTTTTGCCCCCCATCGTGTGGCATCCGTTGGTAGTTCAAAACCCTTTTCATGGGGCACGTCCGTTACTTGCAGAGCTTAGCTATTGGTGGCAGGGCGCAGTCGCTAACCCCCCACGAATGTCGAAGGTTCACTGTATATTATCTTTTATTCCGTCCCTTACATGGACATGAAAAATGACGCTTTTTATGCTGCCTACAGAATTTGCGAGGACTACATAGCAAAGAACGCACGCGAGTATGACGCGCTCCGAAAGCAGCTTCCACTTCTTCCTCCCAAACTGTGCGCATCAGTGAGGAGGAGAATGTCTTTCTACAGGCCTTCAAAGAAACAACACACGCAAGTTTTCTGAATGCCAACAACCATGCAGTTTATTATTATGATTGCTTTTTTTTTTTTTTTTTTTTTTTTTTTTGAAATATAGTTCTGTGATTTATTTTTAACATTTAACCTTGAATGTGGGAGAGCAAATTTGTCTTATGTTCAAATACATGTCAGGAATAATATTTTTTATTATTGCACAAATGTGAAATGATCTCGTGCTGGCTGCCTGCTGTCATGATGATGATTAAATGGCACGTGAAAATATGGTCGAGTCACACTTTACATTTTTGGAAGAAGCTCACTATCTGCGTTCTGGTGGAAACTCACCGGTTGTGAATTAGGGCTGAGGCAAATGAGGTGCTCAATGCAAAGAGAGAAGAATTAAAGGAAAAAAAAAGATGTGGAAATACAGGAATTACATGGGGAAAAAAGGCTTACTATTATGAGGGGAAGAAAATAGTCACTACAGTAAGAAAGTTGTAATAATACAAGAAAAAAGTGAACTGAATATAAAACAAGTATTTATACTCAAATACAAAAATAATTTTGTAACATTACATGAATAAACCTATATTATGACTTACTGGTAACACTTCTTGAAAAGGGTTTTAACTTGAAGTATGGCTTAACAAAACATTCATTCATTTATTTACCAAACTGCCTGTCCTCACACGTTATTTTATTCTTGTAATAACTTTTTCCATGTAATAGATTTTCTCAAAAATTTCCTGTTCTTTTTTTCACCACTAGGTGCCAGCACAGCCCAATGGTTCAAACCTAAACAGAGAAGCAATGGCTCCAATTAGGAGGCATTTTTTGGCACACATTCCTTTCTTCAAGGGGTGGAGAAGTGCTGCCTTAACTGTGGTCAGGAAGGAAACCTGAAATAAAAACGGCGAGCAGTACACGCCTTCCTTTTAGCCGCTTGGCCTCAATAATGATAAAAAAAAAAATCCCTCGCGCTTCAATTGCCGTATATGCCGTACATGCCGCAAAACTTCATTTCCTTAGCAGCACATCCAAAATGTGCCTCAACTGCTACTCCGCAAATATTATTTTGTTTATTATCAACAGAATGGTTATACGCTAGCCTCCCGATTCCAAAAGCACACAACAGTAAGGCGAGCGGTACAATAGAAGTTGGCTAAGTGTGTGTCTGCCTGTGCAAAAAAACAAAACAAAACAAAACAAAACACGACAAACAATGAACTTGGCGTTAAGTAGAGGTGAGGGGGTCAACTAAATTCCCTCTCAATGGTGTCCATCAGTTCTTCCTCAGAGCCGTCGTACAGGATGACTGGTGTGGCGAGCGGGGGCATGCTGTGGCCAAAAGTGCTGGTAACGAGGAGAAACAAAAGTCAAAACATTTGTCATTGTAACACGTAACTGCAAAAAAAAAAAAAAAAAAAAAAAAAAAAAAAAAAAGCATTTCACATCATGTGCCACATTATCTGTCTCTGATTGGTTGTTTTTTCACGGGCGTGGTGGTTTCGTGTACTGTATATTTGAGGCCCAACATTGGACCACTGATGGCTGATTTTTTTTTTTTTCACAGATCATACTCATTGTGTACTGTCAAATTGTAATGACCGTTTAAACAAATGACTTTTTTTTTAAATTACGAGATGGATTTAATTATAAGGTACAAATATTTTCATAATAAAATGCTCTTGATAATGATGCTGAAAAATAATCAAAAAGCTTAACCTATCATGAACGTTTCTAGTGTTTCTCATGAGTGGATAATTTCAACATTTTACTGCGCATGTCCAGACTTGCTTCAGGACAAGTGTAGCAAAACAAAATTCTGTGACCAAAGTGAAACGGAGTTATCCACGGTGAGCAAAGAAGAGGAGAAACCACCTAAGGTTTGAACCTTTTTTACAGTGACATCCTCTGACCATCACCGACGGGAACAAGAGCCAGGCGCTCTTGCCATTTGCGGTGGCACTGCTGTCGGTGTCAGCCGAGGAGGATGCAATCGAGTGGAGAGTGACACGAGTGACGTGAGTATTAAACTTACGCCTGTGTTTGGGATAAGGCGCCATCTTCTTCTGTTGGTCTTCTTGTCAAGAAGGCCTGAGTAGAACACTGACCAGGAAGCAAAGACAGAATTGTGTTACGTGGTTTCAGTTTTTTTAGATTCTAAGTGCCACGATCTTCGAGCTGCGTCGGATCATCATTGCATTTTCTCTTTTTCCATTCGATAAACGCCCAACTTTTCCTCAAGTGTTAGGCTTGAAAAAAAGTATGTGTATTTTAGTCGTTTTGGAATGTGACATGCAGCGGCACTTCCGGAAAAGTCTCTAAAGGCTTCACCTTCCCTCAATTGACAAATATGAATGACATCCCTTGATTTTAACCCCAAGCGGGGCCTAGTAACGATCCTCAGCATTTAAATCAGGCCTGTTGGAAGAGGGAAACATCTAAAATAGGCTGCATAGGGGGCTCTCGAGGACCAAACTTGAGCACTTCGACCGTACGGGTCTACTTCATAAAAGGAAGCCGTCCTTAGTCCTTACCTGAGGGGGAGGTGCGAAGGCGTGATGGCTCCTGTTCTTGTTGCCTGCTCCCCGGGAGCCATGTGGCCCCTGTGCCCCACCGAGGCCGGAGGTGGTGGAGGAGGGGGTGGAGGAGGTGGAGGACGCCCCCTGCTCCTGCTGCTCATCTTCCTCCCCGGTCCTGAAGTGACACAGTCCGTACGTCCTGCACCTCATGAATGCCTTCTTGGACGCCGCCTGGTTCTTCTTCCCCTTAGGGCGAACCGCCGCTCCCGCCTCGTCGAAGCCGCCCAGCTCGGCGTCCGCGTCGTCGTCGTCGTCCCCGGAGAGCCCCGAGTCGTGGCCGGCGCTGTGGCAGTCCACCGGGGCTCGGCGGCGGGAGTGAACCCTCAAAGCGTCGAAGGCGTCTCGTTTCGAAGAAGCGACCGAAGAAGAGACGTTTTTAGCCGGCTTCGCCTCGCCGAAGCCCACAGGTGCAACTTTCGTCACGCGGCTCGTTCCGCTACCCATCCCGAGGTTAAGCGTCTACTTCAGTCATCTTCAAGTCACCGCGAGTGTCGCGGTTAAAGTGAAATGTGATATAAAAGTAACAAGTCAGCCTCAGTTTGGACTTTAATGTCACTTTGTTGAGCGCACGACCCAAACGGAGCTCCACATAAGGATGTGAAACGGCGGCTTGGTTATGTAACACGACTTGGACACAGCAGCACATGGGGGGAAAAAACACTCCGCCTTCTCATAAAAGGACAAACATTCATCGTTGAGTTTTCCAGCTTTTTTTCCCTCTCATCTTTTTTTGGTAGCAAGAAAAAAAACTACCGTTTTTTTCGAGATAAAAATAATACTACGAGGATGAAGCCATAAAAGTCGTAATATTACTGGAATTGAATTTTGCTTATATTTTCAAAACTCGTAATTGCCTCATGATAAAGTCTGACTTTTCAAAAAAACAAAGGAGATTCCAAGAAAACAGTGCTATATTTTTCAGCAAAAATCTGGCAATCTCGTGAAAGTTAATAGTGTGACTTTTTCTTGGAAAAATACCCTTTTTTTAATCCAGAAAAGAAAAATCATATTTAGAATATGACAGCTTTTATCTCGAAAAATCTACCTTTAAATCAGAAGAGATAAAATATTTTGGGATTAGAAAAAAGTCACAGACTTTTAATCTTTTGACTTTTTATCAGCCAAAAATTTGTGGCACTGATTGAAATCTGCGCCAATTTCCTTTATTCGGAAAAAGTCATTTTTCAACCAAGAAGTTGTAACGTGTGTGAATAAAGTGGAAATCTTCCAAGGAAAAAAAAGTCACAATATTGTAAATGTAAAGTCATTTTTTGATAGAAACGTGTAATATTATGAGAAATAAAAATGCATTTTTTTTACTATATAAAAATTGTAATATTACAAGAATACAGACAATCTTGGGGGGAATGTCAAGTGACAATTGTTCAAGAGTAAAGATGCAAAGCTTTCAAAAAAAAAAGTTTGAATCACAGAAGAATAAATACTTTTTTGAGACTCGTAATAATAAAGTCCTCATGAAAATAATGCAAAAATTGGTCTGGTTTTGTTGGAAAAAAGTATCCGGAGATGGCCCGTTCCGGACCTCTGCTCTATCCTGTAGCAAGCAAGGCCATTACATCATCCTGCACCGCTCTAACAGTCGATGTGATTTACAAAGCATCAGATCATCTGCAAAGAGAAGCCCCTCGCCAGCCTGTGCTCAGCTAATAAGACTTTAGTGAGGTCAACTGTGAGGCGTTTGGAGCCCCATCCACTCGCTTTGTTTTTTTTTTTTTTTAATTTAGAGAAAGAACCAACATTCCTTACTGACAGTAGATTCATCATGAAGCTTTTTTGGGGGGGCTGTGTGTGTTCGGTCCACTTGCACATACAAAGGACACAGCGGGGGCATAAGATGGGCCAAATAAAGCCCCCCACCCCCGCACACCCCCCTCCCAAAACCCTATAAGTCAAAGATGTTTGCTATGTTTCATTAGCGGGCCCCTGTGTTTTGTCGCACATGTGTGCGCGTTATGGACCGTGACCAAGTCAAAGACACCTGCGCAACCTTTTCAAATGTTCCCAAATTGTGGACAGGGAAGCAATTTGAGGAAAGAAATTGTGGCCCAAAATGTCACTTGTGGGAATGGTCTCGCACACTTGTTTGGCTTTTAGGACTAAATTGTAACTAACACAACCAAATATGTTATAGTGAGTAGTTATATTTATTCTTATTGTGGTTGGAGGCTGGTTCTAATAGTTTGCACTCTCGCATAGCTAAAATCGTTTAAAGAAATATATAGTACCTAAATATAGGGACTATACGTCTCTACTTGCCTGTACTGTTCCTTGAAAAATGCTCCGATACTACGCACGATACCGCCTCACCAACCCGACAACTTTGTTGGTCGGCTGCAAATTACGCTTAGCAAAGTGGAGAGAGGCCGCAGCGCCCTCGAGATGTGATGGTGGGCCGAGTTGTGACTCTTAAGGTGAAAACAGAATTAACTATTTCCTCCCTCTCTGAACAAGCATTATCTTCCATAATCCGAGCCAAATCTTTGTTATGTCACTTTCATTTTGACAGCGTGTGTCTGCTGCTTCCTATGTGGTCGAGGTTGTGTTGTTTCTACACTCCTCCGTGTTTGATTGTGGCTCATTATAAAGAGATGAGGCGCACATCTGGACAAAAAGTCAACAGCTTCCAGACGAGTGGGGTGGAGCCTCTGGAACAAGATGAACACCACAACCCAGCACGCTGCATAACTGTGGGCTTTTTTTTTGGGGGGGGGCGGGGGCAGCCTCACTCTGCTTCCTGCACAGAAGACTTGTATGCTCAAGAGTCGTTGCATTCACAAGTAAGATTCAGCACTCAGATGGATTTCTATGCGACTTGTTTTTATGCCACAAATGACAAGCAGTTTGGTGTTTACCACAAATTGTAGTTTGGTGTGATGAGGAAAGGCGACATTTGAAGCCCCAAAATACTATTGTTTTGAGAAATTCGGTTAGCAGCGGTACTCCATTAGGACTCCAGTAAATGTGTTTATACAATACCATTCATTTATAGTCTGCTCTTGAGAGCTTTTGTAAACAGGTCAGATAGAGGCTAACATGTGGCTAGCTGAGTCAGGCTGTTGTTTGGATTTGATTTATTTGTATGGAATGAGAAGCTTACTCTATCTGTCTGACTTTTCCAACTTTTTGATTAGACCTTCAGCTTTGTGGTCAAATTTATTCCAGGTTGACGCCCAACAAGCTCGTGCCAACTTCATCTGGCTAACTTCATACGGCTGTGGGCCGCGGCACACTGACTATTGTGGCAGAGCGCCACAAGATTTCTTGAGTCTCGAACTGCCAATGTGGAGTCAACACTTTTGACTGGCCGATGTTGTTTGAACGTATTGATGAAGTCAATCGAATCTATTGGTAAAGTCAGTAGTCCGTGGCATTATGGGGAAAATGCTATGTTTTAGCATTCAGCCCATGTTTTAACCAATACATTCAAACAACTTTACCAAATGCGTTAGACCGACTGAACACGCAGCAAACCTTATTTAGCTAACTTTTACTGGCTAATCGAACAAGGTTAACAATCAGCCTAGAGTTTTCCACCAAATTTTGTCTGGCTAATCAAACCAGGCAAAATGTCATTGGCCAAATTTATCTGGCTAACCTAATAAAGCTAACAAAAGTTAATGTTATCTGGAACTCTACCCAGGCTCAAGTTATCCTGTTAACTTTATCTGACAATTCAAATTAGGCTAATTTAACAAGGCTGGAGTTATGCAGCTAAATTTATCTGACTAGGCTATTCAGGCTAACTAAACCAAGTCAAACTAATTCAATTAACCTTTATCACACGAAAGTTAATTTGCCATCTTTATCACATTGATATCATCCAGCTAATATTAGGTTATTGGACTAATCTAATTGGGCTTTAACCAATTTGTTTGATGAACTTCATCAAGCTAAATATATCTTGTCAGCTTTACTCAGTTAATTTGACTTGCTCTCTATTATTTGTAAAATGAATTCATGGATACTGTATAAGTAAAAGTTGTCATTTGCTGCCATTTTAGGGTATCTACAGGCAATCTCTCTTTTTTTTTACGTGGGGGGTGTCAATTGCAGCTATTTATGGGTCTCTATTTGTTTCTTAATGAAGAATTGGAATTAAATAAATCAGATTATTTTCAGTTGCCTAATGTGCTGTTAAACTAAAGAAGGATTTAAGTATACTACTCTACTCGTGTGAACAACATACTCCATTGCAGACAATTTGGACCCACAAAGACTGACACTTAAAGACGTAATGGAGAGACCTGCCCGGAAAAGAGATGTTAAGCGGGACACGGTTGCCACGGCAACAGGCAATGAATCCATGGGGAAAAATAAGTCAGTGCCAGCTTTATTTATCTTCCAGGCCATCCTTATTAATCGCCTCCATTACGACATATAAATGCAAACTTCTGACGTGAAAATTACGTCACGCACATGAACCGGTGACCCCCTGCAAGCTTTATTTTATTTTTTTATTTTTTTTGTTGGGTGGGGGGGGGTGCTAATTCATTGCGTTCTACCATGTGTTGACATCGGAAACCAGGAGGTGGCGCCATCGCTCAGTGTAATTTAATTTCATTTGGGTTTAACTCGAATAATCTGCTGTTTGTTCAATTAGGAGTCCGTTTCATGTAAACAGCCATAGAGTCATTACATTTAAAAAAAAGGGCTATAAGAGGCATACGTTTCATCATCAACATCAGAAAATAATTATTCGAGGTTCTAATGACTATTTTTCCTCATTATAGTGACCTATAGTTGTGTTTATTTACACAAACTGCAGAGACTACCAGTACGGTGTTTTTTTTGTTGTACGTTTTTATGACAACATTATACACAGGGTCGTCCCTCCCAAACCGCACTCTCACCAGCATGGCTCAAAGTCATCCTCTTTGTCAAAAAGGCCCAGCAATCAACACTGGTGATGGGATTTTCGGATCTTTTCGGTGATCCGGTTCATTTGGATCGGCTCAGTGAAAAGAGCCGGCTCTTTTTGGCTCTCAAACGGCTCTTTTAACTTTAGCTTTTCTTTTAAACATTTACGACAAATTTAGCATACATTTTGAAAAATGACTTGGTGAACTAAATATTGCACTCTACTGACTGCAAGTAGCAACAATTATCAAGCAAAGAAATGGCTTTTTACTTATTTTATTGGACATTAAAAAGGCTCCAAACAATAAACAAGCAACAAAATTAAACTTCAACGAACAACAATCAAACATGCTGCATCCTAACAAAAATAGTGAGTATTAACTGCAACAGCAGCAGTGAACAAAACAAACATAGGCTACTCCTTGCTTTATTTTAACAAACATAAGCTACTCCTTGCTTTATTTTAAATTTGCTGTTAACAAAACTAAATACTTCAACTTGGAATACTTCAATTTATCCAGTCTTTTGAGAACACCCTCTCTGACGGGACAGATGTTGCTACAATGCACAATCTACTCTCCATTACTTTGATGTTCACCAAGAAGAAGAATAAGTACAAGCACAAGAATGATACCACATCCGGTTCAAAGTTTTTCCGCTGTCCACAAGCCCTGTTCTCAGTGAGTAATTTTAACATTTTAAACTGACTTCGCAGTTTATCTCTGAGTGTATAGTTTAGACAATTGGGGAGAGTTATTACGACACGTTGCTCGTTTAATTTTGTTGTTGTGACTCAACGTAAAAAAAACAACGTCAGCAAAGGGGACAGTGAGCGAGCACGCCGCCGACAAGTAGACCTGAGCTGTCAATCAAAAAGCAATCGTGAACAGCGTTTGACTTGAATACTATTTTGTATGTTTTCCACACCAAAGCTGCTATCAGCAGTGGAAGTGTGATGGCTTCACATGGGGGGGGGGCAGATTTGTTTCAAAACTATTCCCACAAATGCACCGGCGACTTTGTTCATTTGTTTTTCGAAAGGAGGTTGCTCATTGTACTTTAGGTGTGGGGAGAGAGCCGCGAGTGGATCGCTCAAACAGATGCATTGCGAATGCGGGCACGTTTGGAAATGGACGGGTTGAAAGTAAAAGTCTGCCACTTTACGAATAATGACACAAATGAAAAAGAAAAGAAGAAACAACTTTTTTATGGACTACAGTGTGTGACTTTCCACTTTTGTTTTTCTGCCTGACCAGTTAGTCAAATGACTGGGCCAAAGGCGCGGCCGCCACACTCAGAGGACATGCGGAAGGGACGCCAACCTGCATTTGGACACGTGTGAGTACTGAGCTGTTTGATGTCTGATGTCACTGATGTCACGTTGCACCACAAGGTGGAGGTGAGTGTGCCCGCCTGTCTTCTGCTTGTCTTCTGCTTCGTGTACTGCACAACAGTGTCAACTCCACATAGACAACCCAAGCATCATCAAGCACTTCTGAAATATGTTTTAAGACTAATTTGGCCCACTTCAATGTCATTTAAAAACTTGACCAGAAGAGTGATCATGTTGTTGTGGAGTACACGGCAGTTAGTTTTTGTCTCAGTGAGAGAAGTCGGACGTGCTCATGTCCCCCTTGGTGTGTCATGAGATATCAGTGACATCACGCATGAGCTGGTCAAGCACACGCTCCCATCTCGGGCCTGTCGTCGGTGTTTGTGTGCGTGCAACTTGAACTGGCCCACACATTTGACAATAAAGTTGTATCCAATCCAAAGATTGACTGGTCAAATGCTTTTACATTGTCATGTTCGCTTTTCTGTCCAATAAATTGTTCAAGTTGAATTCGAGTCTTTGCCTTTCATGACCAAATCCATCCTCAACTCACTCGAAGCCTTTTCAAAGACTGAAGTCTTGAGCTCAGACTTGCGCTTCAGTCACATCAGACAGTCTTTTCACTGTTCCCGTTGGTCTCCACATGACTCGAACCTCCAGGAAGCGAGCTTTTTGGTCATGTGAAACCGACGGGAACAGTGAAAAGACTGTCTAATGTGACCCAAGTGCAAGTCTGAGCTCAAGACTCAAGTGGGACTTTGAAAAAGTGAAGCAATGCCCGCCCCAAACCACACCCAATTTGACATCCACCAATTGCGGTGAGGCCCCTCATTTGCATAACCCCGCTATAATTTGCATAACCACGCCCATGTTCCAAGTTCTGGTCAGATCGCTCCATATTTGCATAGCCACGCCCAAAGTACCCACCAATCAGAGACCGCTGAATTTGCATAACCACGCCCCATTTCCGCCAATCACAGCATGTTATCATCATGCTCCACCCACTTTCACAGCTATCAGCAAATCATCAGTCATCATTCCAGCAAGGCCACACCCACTTTCCTGGATTTTTCTGCCTGGAAAAAGAAAATCCAGGGAAAAAATTTTTGGAAAACATTTTTTGAAAAAAAATCAGAAAAAGTTTTGAAACAAACTGAAAATGATTTTGTTTATTATTATTATTTTTTTTTTTTTAAGTTAGATTGTGGTGATGTGTTCAAAAATGAAGTTGAGTTGAACTGTTCTTTGTAATCAAGCTTTATTTCTTTTGCAGAGTAGACAATCACAAAAGCAGAGGAAAAAGTTGCAAGTTGGATGGCAGTCTGCTTGTTGCTGGACGGCGAAGTGGTCAGCTCTTGAGAAGAACGTGGGACAGGTGTGTTGACCTGAGAGGAAAGGCATCCGTGAGTTACACGCAA